GCGTAGGATGACACCATCACAGTCATAAACGAGAATCATCATAACTTTCACATTGCTGGGGTTCTGACGAAATTTCGAACGTCGTGGTGACCCACGATGACGTCATTCGTTTGATTGACGTTTTAGTTCTGGCTGGTACGATCGGGCCCAAGTCTCATCCAGCGTAATGATACGGCGTAAAAAAGCATCTCCTTCGCGCTCATAGTGCTCCAGGTGGGTTCGGGCAGCATCGTATCGTAGCCATTTCTGCATTTCCGTCAATTGATGTGGAACCCATCGTGAAGCAATTTTTCTCACGGACAGGTGTTCCTTCAGAATGTGCAGCAGAGTCGTATGCGCTAGTCCTGTTTGTCCGGCCAGCTGACGAATCATTTGGCGGCGATCACTGTCCATTAGTGCGGCAACAGCTTGCACGTCTGCATCGCTGACACTCGGATGACTTGGCCGCAGCATGTCTGCCACATTTTGGCGTCCTTCATTGAATGCTTTCACCCGTCTTGCTACGGTTCTGCAGATTCGCTGCAAGCCTCTTGAAGCCCTTGATGACACTGTCATGCTGTACGACCTCTGGCACATTCAATTTTTTATCCTACATCGTTGTTCTTGTTTTGAAAACATCCTGACAACACTTACTTTAGACTGCGAGGTAATACAAGGATCCGTTCTTCGCATCACTCCGCATGCATGTGACATAGGCAGGACGAGTCTTTTTGCTGAGACGTAAGGTAGGTATGTGTTCACGTGTGGTATAATTCACGTGTGATATTCTTTGGTTTTGTTGCGTAGCATTTTTTCAGCTGTGTTGCCACTATTAAAGTTCCAACCCTTGTATATTTCTCGCACTGTGAAAAGACAAGGGTACCTAAAGTCATTGAATTCTGAATAACATAGTCCTCCACCTGAACATGCCCGAATTCGGAATTTCCAATTTGTTTTATTGAATATTTTGTATACTGTAAAACTTAACTGAATTTTTTATTAAAAAACTCAATGATTTCAAAGCGAGCAGTGACAACACTGTAGGGAATAAAGCATTTTTATTTCCAGCGTGCGAGACTGTCTATCCAAAATTCTAAAGATATGCTGTTTTTAAATATTGCTATCCCAAAGTGATGTTAGCCTTAATGTTCACAAAACTTGTATGTGTCTGTATATGAAAAAAATGCCCATTTGGGCATAATATAAAATCTAAAAGCTTTCAGATTATATTAAGACTTTTGCAGGAGCTTCCTTACAAAGAATATGCTTTCCAGAGAAGTAATGATAATACCAGTTAAAGATACTTTTATGCTTCTAGCAGAAGGGTCTCTAATACTCTTTAATATACTATCAAAGTACCAAAAAAATACCTTATGAAAATAATTTTAGACACATTTGGTCTTTCTTTTAATCCAAGCACAATAGGCTGTATGGCCAGCCCCCTTTAATTCATTGTTGACAAATGATAAAACCCAGCATAATGTTTTGAGTTACAGGTTTTACTTTCTAGATAAAACTTCTTTTCTACCAAAACTGACAGCAAGCAAATCACAGTTAAAATCCCATTCAGTGAAGAGATTCAACTGAAGTATTCAAAAATACATATAAACATCCTTAGAAAATACTATGAGATTCAAACCTATCAGTCAGTAACAGAATACTTTTAGTTACAGGATCAAAAAATGAAACATCTATGTCAATAAGCTGTCTAATTAATTAACATATACTGAGTAAGACAAAGAACATATTCAGCAATAATTTTACAGTTCTAGAATTGCCTTTTAATTCATCAAATTCAGATTCTATTGAGAGCACACAAGGCATACTTTAAAAGCATTTATCAAAATATTTACAATCTATATACAATGTATTGAAGAATTGTGATGGAAAAATCAAACACAATGTCACAAGATTCAAACTGTATAAGAGTCAGTGTCATTCAAAATATGTTCAGCAGAACACAAAAAAAAAAAAAAAAAAAAAAAAAAAAAAAAAATTGTGATATCAAACAAGACTGAAAGACGTAATATTACATATTTTCTGGGTGAGCACTCATAGAATTGTTATAATATCGTATAATTTCATGTTAACACCATTTTTGAAATTGCTTATCTTTATCAGATTTTGAATTAAAAAAAAGGTTATTTTTGTACAGTCAAAAGTCGTTAATCCGGACTCGTCAGGACTTCGGCGATTCCGGATTATCGATTTTTCCGGATTATAGATCAGATTAAATCTCGTAAGATGGCATGCAGAAATTCTAAAATTAAAAATATGAAACCGTAATTTATGAAATAAAGAACAATTATGATCTAAAGGGTATCAAAATTTGCAAAAAGAAAAAGCTTAATATTTATTTGTTTACTTAAATAAACATTTCTTTCAATGTAAGTTGTTTAAGTTTTGCTTCGTTTCATGTGATAATACTTTCTCTTTAATTCTATTAAACAGACATAATTTCTTGTTCAGTTACAAAGTTCCGCTGTTCAAGTCCTATAACTGCTGTGTCGAGAACACCGACTAATTTGTCAATCGAAATTTTTTCGTTTTCAATAACCTCTGTTACTTTCTTCGCTATCGGAAGCGAATTATAATGACGAGAAACTTGTTTTAAATCATATCAAAGACAGAGCATATTGAGATGAAATACTACATTTGGTAAGGAATTATAAGCCAAATAAAATAAAAACATCTCCGCCTTGAAGATAAGGATAAAGCTGATGACAGATCAACTTCCAAATTCATTACGCGAGGCATTCCCCCCGCTGAGCAGCGTGAAATTGATAAACAGATTTCGGATTTCAAAACATACTTTCGCTTTAGATCCTTTACATATTAACAAATATATATCGGAAATTCTATTTGATATAATCGAAAGTTTAAGCTTACTTTTATAAAATTGCTCTTACAGTCTGCAAAAAAATAAATAAGCCGGATCCAATTCGAAAATTAAGGAACAACGCAATCATCAACATTAACTGAAATAGATAATTAGATAATTTTAGCTTATACGTCCATTATACATAAAACGCGCACGCGAAAACGTATTCTGCACTTGCGCACACTCATATGCGCAGTCGTAAAAGGTCTTACGCGCACGCGTAAACGCCTATGCGCATGTGTCAACGCGGCGCATGCGCAGAAAGTTTTTAGTTTTGAGGTCCGGATTATAGATCATTCCGAATTATGGGTGTCCGAATTAATGACTTTTGACTGTAGATACTTTAAAACTTATTTTCTATATGTTGTATTCAAAAGGTAAATCTAAAGAAAAAGCCCGGCTTTCCAGCATTCAACTAACCAGAAAGCTGAAGTAGTCAGAATATTTTAGAATTTTTTTTTTAATTCCTATAAAAAATTTAATAAATGAGAGATTTGTATTTGCCATTATACAGCTTGTAATACTATTAACACATATCCATTGTCACCAAACAGTGATTTAGTGCCAATAATGGATAAGCATGATGTTACATCACAATAAGTTTATTTTGGTTCAATGTAAATTCAGTTAATTCTTGATAAGTCAGTTTAATTTTTGTATAAAGACTGATATAATTTTTTTTTGGGGGGGGGAAGCATTTTGAAAAATTGGCTGACATTTGGGACTGCATGAAGTGAAGTATTTTCAAATTTACAGGATCCAGACATCAGAAAAAGGCCACAATATAAAATTTTCAAAACGAATAAACAGAGATGTAACATGAAACTTTTGACAAAGGATTTAATTTTTTTATATGATATATCTGTAATTTGTATCTCTTTATTATCTAACTAAATAAAGAATGGATTTTTCATTTAAGTTTCTGCCAAAATGATTGGTGACATCTCTGCCAACTTTCATGTTCGGTAAGATTTCGTAATGGGATCAGAGCTTTTACTTTCATGTCAAAGCCTATGAAATATGTTGACTTTTATAACTGAAATGAGTCATTCCCCGAAATCTCATATAATTTTAAATGCAGGTTTTTGATATTCAGGCTGGTAAGAAATATGATGAGTGTTTTTTATAATTTTAGATGGATATTTAGCCCATTGATTTGACTCTTCCAGCACGAATTTTATTTTTTAAAAGCTCAGTAATCTAGAGTCCAGCATTTCTCAAAATTTCCAGATAGTCAAGCTTTTATTGTACTTATTTTTACTGCAATAATTTAAATTTGCATCTATGACACATAGATTCTGTATTCTCTTTCCTTAACCTGTTGAATTTGAAATAATAAAATATACATAAGTTAAAAAATCAATTAATTAAAACATATTTCATGCAGTTGCCAGAGTATATACGCTCTTAGACAAAAAAAAAAAAAAAAAAAGGCAAGATAAGGCAAGATTAAGAGGAGAAATTACGATTCTAGATCATAAATTCTTCACAAATTTCATTCTGTGTACTAATTTCATTGTTACTGGTAGACAGTAACCATGCCTCGCATACAGGTGCGAGAACGATATGCGCAGATGTCGGAATTTGAGAGAGGTCGTGTAGTTGGGCTCAAAGAAGACGGTTGCTCTTATCGGCAAATAGCTCGACATTTGAGCAGGAGCGATGCCCACTATTAGACGATGATGGCAGGAATGGGTGAACCATGGCTGCACACAGCGTCAAGAAGAAAGCGGTAGGCCTAAAGAAATGACAGAACATGAAGACCGAGCAATCGTCAGGGCGGCACTCACAGCCCCAGATGCATCATTATCATCAGTTGTACGTGCAACTAGCACTTCAGCGACCGCAAGGACCATTCATAGACGGCTCACAGAAAGGGGACTGAGGTCACAGTACCATTTGCGCAGACTACCATTGACCTCTGTACAACGTCAAGCCTGTTTGCAATGGTGTCAGGCTCACTCGCACTGGAATGTCAACTGACTGGAGTAGAATTGACCGATTTTCGTCCCATTCGGATAACTCCTTCTTGGTGCGTCTTTTTTTTTTGTCTAAGAGTGTACATTAAGGCACGATCATATAAGAGCAAAACATTATTTCATTTATAATACTTTTAAGCATAATAATAATAAAAACTTACTGATGCGAGACTGAGGAGCAGTTTTTATTGGAGTGACAGGTGGGCTCATTGCCCCTGTAACAAGATCAGACATGGATAAATCGGCCAAAGAAGCATCACTCATAATGTCTGACACATCAAAGTCTTCAACAGTTGCACTGAAAATACAAATTTAATATAAAAATTAAATTGCATTATACAGTTTATACAAATAAAAAAGTAATAAAAATAATTTCTTAAGTAGTTTGAAAAATTTATTTACATGAATTGTGCTCTGAGGGAAAACATTAGAAAGTTTTTATCCAATTAATAACAGATTCCAACATTATTTTTATTAAAATTCCACAGGAATTTTAATAAAAATTATCTTCTCCAAGATTAAAACTCAGTTTTATTACTGTTATTATTAAAACAATTTTATTAATGTTTAATTGATGTGGGATCAGTGACAATGATTTTATATGTTAAAACACATACTTTAAATGCTTAACAGTTTTGCTCCTACATCACACAGGCAACCTTATTTGGTGCAGCCCGATCTGCTCGTGTGTGATACAGGCATCTCATTTGCGAAGTTTTAGTTTTTGACCATCCCATATTATTTAATTTATTTTTTGTGATTCTATATGGCATTCCATGACCGTGAAAAACAGATTTCTATTTATTTTTTGTGGAAGGTGGGAGATACTGAATTCATAGTGAAACATTTGCTCACTTACAGATTCACTGTTTTGCATTAGGTTTTGCTTAAAAGTTTTATTACAAATTAATAAACTTTTGTAATCTTATTATTAAAAGCATATAAAATAGCTTTTATGTCAAATTATTGCAATTTGTATGCTTTAATTTTCGTTCGTTCCTGTTTTAAAACACATAAAAAAAAATCCTTCCTGCAACATTCCTTGTTTAAGAGACCACACCAGATTAAGTTACAGTTACAATTTCTAGCTATGTAATAAATATGAAATATCAAGCTATGTAAAATGTTTATTATCACCAGGTATTTTATGTAAAATAAGCTTATTATCTGTACTTAAATATATGGAAAAATCCAACATTACAGGGCAAATGTAATTGTTATCTCTATATATATTTTATTTTTCACATATGAATTGATTTTTCGCATAAAATTCATCTGAAAATGGGATTTTTTTTTAATTCTATAACAAAAAAGTCAAAAATTTATTGAGCAGAAAAATGGTTTAATTCTTTATGGGGTCAGCTGAAATGATTTTATACATAAACGCATATACTTAAGTTCTTTCTAACCCTTTTTTATGTTTATGTGAACAGAATATTATTCACGTGCTGCAGAGCTCAATGTCAATAAAACTACATGGCTGCCATACTGGCTAGATGGTTTTATATAAATAACAGTATGCACACTTACATAACAGTAGATTTTATATAAAGATACATGTACTATACAGATATGAGATGTACTATACAGATATCAGTAAATGAGAAATGTTACATAAAGCCAATACAGTGAAGACACCACAGAATCATAAAAAGAGCATGCTGAAGTAAAACAAAATTTCAGGAACAAATATAATGCACAATTTATAGTGATATTATTAGAGTCAATGTTAAATGGAGGGAAAAAAATGCAAGGTTCCGGATATCAAGAATTAGGAGAACACAGGTGGCTGATGGCAGAAATTTATTTTTCTGAACAGAAATTTTTCATATCTGAACACTCACAATAAGCATAATGATACAGCTTAGTCAACAAATGCATCTGAGCCTTTGACTATTGTAAAATGAAATCAAAAGCTCCAATCTATAATAATTTAAGAAGGGATACATTTTAATGGGAAAACACTTTTGTTTTCATTGATTGATGGTTAAAAAAATTAATTAACAAACATTTAGAAGAATATTTTGAAACATTCATCATCAAAAAAGCACTTCGGAAATTGAAAATAGACCTTCCAGTAAAACTCGACACTAGTACACACTGCTAAATATACTCAAGAATGGTATGAGACACATTTTACAACTTTTCTTACAAAACAAGAATTGGAAGTTTACACATCAGTTTTAATTAAATGGATCATTCTGTATGATCTACCTTACAGACAAGGGTTTGCATTAAATCAAACAAAATATTGACAGCTCTATAACATTCTTTGCAAAAACAAAAGAAAACTTTCAGAAGATTGATTGTGGCCCATAAAGAAATTTTATCAAATTTATCAACGCTATGCCAAAGGAGGCACATTTTAAAATTTGTAAATATGTTAACTGGTAGCAACACAATTTTTATATTAAATCTAGTTGAAATACTTCAATAAGCATTGAAATTATACGCTCCAATATGGGATCAAGTTAACTGTCAGCCTGTAATCAAGCAGATACTTTTATAAATCAGAGTTTAACAATACCTAAGGAAACACTTCTGAAAAAATTTTGATTTTGTAAACTTCATGAATCTTGGATCAGCAACAGCAGTGGGCATCTTAAAAGTGAAAATATTTTGGTGAATAATTCATAAAAGTTTCAAAGAAAATGAATTCCTCAATTATCTGTAACAACTTGGCATAGTCTGAATAAATGAAAGTAGCAATTATAACGTTTATATTCATGCTAAACAATGAAATGATAAATTGCAACTAAAACTACAACTACAGAAGTGAAACACATTCAGATTTGTCTATTAAATACAAGTTGTTACATTTGTTAAAAGAAAGATGCATTAATATGAATGTATTTATATAAGTTATAAATAAGAATTCAAAAGAGTTTCATAAATGTGCTCTTGAGTTATATTAAAAAAAAATGCACTGTAAATCACCAAAAAGTATTTGGGTTGAATCTGGACTATATATGAAGTAAATTCTCAATAAAACTTAAATTTCTATATAATATACAGAAATAAAGAAAACTGAAAAAAATCTCAGACTGTTGGAGACGCTCATAATAAAAATGCAACATAAAATTATATACCAGAGGTGGCCAAACTTCATGACAGCAGAAGCCTTAAGTTAGAATCTTTCAAGAATACAATTCGGAAACTTTCAAAAGCAGCAACTATATTTTCTAAGAATTAAAACTAAATATTTACATCGTTTAAAAATAATCACATTTTGTTAATTATTTTGACTGCTTTAAATATATATATTTTTTTTTTCTTTTGTTTCATATTCAGTGAAATACATTCCTCGTGTAACTAAATTTTTCTACAGTGTACCGTACACATTTCCAGATCAGATAGGAAACCAACCAAACATTTGTTTTTAATTTTCATATTTTTTCCTACTTTCTAATTTTAACAGTAACTAAATTTGGCAAACAATCAATTATTATACAGTAAAATGAAATCAAAGGAAGATACAGCAGTCTATATAATCAAATAAAAAGCTTTTGAGACAAGTGAAGAATAATATTAGTCATTTGAAAATCAGAACCACTTATAACCCCCCTTAAACCAAAAGTTTTTTAACTATGGTACGTAAGTGAAATTTACATAGCCAATATGAAAAATTAGAAACCATCCTGATTTTCGAAAAAATGAAGTTTCAAAAATTAGTTTGGAATGCACAAATTATTATCTTATTTTGATACACACATTTATCTGGAAAATATCCTCATTATTATTGTTTGTGAGATCACTGGTGTACAAAAGTGCAAACTGTATAGGCGATATAATCTTTAAAATGTTTCTTCACAATTTTACAAAAAAAAAAAAAAAATCAAAGTACCATTTAGATTTTACCAAATGAAAAATTACACTCAATTTTATTATAGACTATATTTAACCTGGAGCCACATATTACTAGTATTTTAAATCACAAATCCCAGTTGCACATTTCTCATTAAAAATGAAATATTAATAACTCTCTTTTGAGTTTTGTTATATGTTAACTGTACTGACTTCAGATATTATTATTATTGTTATGAATTTTGTATTTAATTAGCTATTTCTAGTAGAATTATAATTAAAATTATTTTATATCACCGTGCTATGCAGCATGAGATGTATTTTAAGAGAAAGCTATGCCAGAAAAGTCAAAATATAACAGCACGCGCTAACATTTAAAAAATAGATATCTCATTATTTATATATAAATTGAATAAATGTAAATGACTACTGTGTTAGCGGTAACCGTAATTCTACTCTTCTGCTTTCCAGAAATCTCAAGAAGCAGAAATTACCAGAACTTTCTCGCGACCGATTAAAAAGGTTTAAAAAGCCGGGGAGAAACATCTTAGTTCACTTGTTTAGATACCTATTGCTGGTGATTGTAGCAAATTCGCGGTGAGATCGGATTAGCTTTCTCTGCGCTTTGGACTGTTTTCTATTTAACGTTTTAGTAGTTTAAAATGTAACTTTTGTGGGATATTGTGATATTGTACGAATATCTGAGGGAAAATCCAGCATTTTGTTATATTTCTTGTGATAAGAATAAATTTTAACTTTTTACCGGACTTTTGCATTCAATCTATAACGAAACCATATGCACGCAACACTTTGATGTCAGAAGTGGGATTGAAGGCCAGTCACAAGAGTGATGGAAGAACAGTTAAGACAGCTCATCACTGCTTTTGCTGCATTCCAAGAAGAGATGGAAGCTGGCCAAGCATCCTTTAAAGAAGAGATTAATGCGGGTCAACAATCTGCTAAACGAGAGATGAAAGCTGTTCTGGAAAAGATGGAAGTATCTGTTAAAGAAGAAATGAAAGATCTTCAGAAATCTGTTAAAGACATGAAAAGTGTTCAAGAAAAGATTGAAGCAGGTCAAGAGGAAATAAAAAGAGAATTTATGTTCATAACAGAAAACAAATTCGAGACTACGGAAGACAGAATAGACTAGGTCGAAAATAGGATTGGAGAAATTGAAGAAAGAGTTTCTTCTGTCAAAGAATGTGGAAGGGAGAGTTTCTGCTGTGAAGCAATGAATCAAAGCAAGAGTTTCTACCGTTCTATACCAATTCGAATAAAAATTGATGACAGGGTTTCTGCGGTCGCCAAAGAAGTTGATACATTGAAGAAATTCATAGCAAAGGCACGAAGCAATGCAGATGGTTTTAAATTTTTACTAGTGCCTGCTCGTTCTTTTCTGAAACTATCTATATATGATGGGAAGACCTCTTGACAAGTGTATAAGACACAATATTTTATAGTGGCAGAAGCGAGTGGATGGGATTCTCAAGCTAAAGCCTGTATCTCATCGCTCCTCTGAGAGCAGACACTGCGGATATTCTTCAAACTCTTCCAGAAAACCAGAGACTAGACTTTGAAGCTCTATCCGGCATGTTGGAGCTGCGCTTTGGCAAGAAATGTTTAAAAGACTACAGTAGACTTCAATTAAAACCTGTCAACAGAAGCCCATGGAAACATTCCAGAAACTCGCCAAGTATATTGAAAGGCTATTCCATCTCACCTTTTTGGAGTGCCGACAGAAACAAGGGAAATCCTGTCCCTGCAATATTTTATAGACAGCAAGAAGGATCCTGAAATACAGAAAGCTCTATGAGTGGCAGGTGTTAAAGATGTAAAACGTGCTCTGCTGCAGGCCATGAAATTTGAGGCAGCCCAGCAAGCAACTCAGAGATTGCTACCCAGTCACAGCCGTGTGAGTCCACAAGCCAGTGGATCAACTGATGGCTCGTTTAGATGATTTATCCAGACAAGTCAATGTTTTGATATGAAGTAGGAGTGAGAACAACTGGCTCTAAAGTGTTGGAAATATGGTACTGAAAGCCACATATAGCAGCATTGCAGAACACCCCAGGAAATGGAAAATAAAACAGATGATTTGACAAGACCAGTCAGTGCCTTGAGATGGAATAGGAGTGAAAAGAAACCAATCCTAAAGTGATGGAACTGTGGTGCTGAAGGCCACATATGAAGGAACTGCAGTACATCCCAGAGCACGGAGAACAAGACAGATAATGAAATGTCATGAGATTGAAAAGGAGTGACAAGAAATCAAAGTGCTGGAACTAGAGAGCTGAAGACCATGGTCCTTTTGTTTCTAACTTTGTATTTGATTTGATTTGTATTTAGTATTTGATTTGTTTTAAGTGACTTATTGCAATTATTGTTTATGTTGTTGTAATGTAATGCTTATTATTGCATTTCTGCCTTAGTTTTAAGTTTGGCTTCATGTCCAGGGATTGTACTGCCCGATGCGCAGTCCTTGGGAAGGGGGCAGTGTTACAGATTTTGTATTTAGTTTTCTGTTTTTTAGTAGAATTACAGTTAAAATTGTTTTATATACCTGTTTAATGCAGCATAACACTTATTTTAATAGAAAGCTATGCCGGAAATGTAAAAATATAAAAGAACACGCATTTAACATTTAATAGATGTCTCATAATTTATATTTAAATTGAATAAATGCAATTGACTACTGTGTTAGTTGTAACCATAATTCTACTTTTTTGCTTCCCAGAAATCTCAAGAAGCAGAAATTACCAGAACTTTCTCGTGCCCAATTAAAAAGCATTAAAGAGCCGGAGAGAAACACCACAGTTCAGCTATTTAGATAGCTGTTGTTGATTGTAGCGAATTTGCAGTGAGATTGGATTAGCTTTCTCTGCACTTTGGATTGTGTTCTATTTAATGTTTTAGTAGTTTAAAATATAACTACTGTGTGATATTGTATGAATATCTTTGTGGAAAAATCCAGCGTTTTGTTATATTTCTTGTGATAAGAATAAATTTTATTAACCTTTTATCGGACTTGTGCATTCAATCTATTATTATGAACCCATATGCACACAACATTATTATGTTATTATTTAAAATGCAATAAAAATATTTTTCATACAGAATCTACAGTATAGATTCATCATGTCTCCAAAATTTCCTTGCAGCTGCTTCATTTAGTAATTAACATACAAATTTACGTCTTTACTTTATAAATTTTGGGCATCTTTGGCTTAATCAATATACACTTAAAACAAAAACAACAGCAACAAGTATGAATAGATAGAAAAAGCTAGATACATTGTAACTGAAATATGAAAGTTACTATAAAACAAGTACAGTACAAAGTCTGTAATCTGGACTCGTCGGGACTGCGGCGATTCCGCGTTAGGAGTTTTTTCGTATTATAGATCATCAATTTAAATCTGGTAAGATGGCATGCAGTTATACAATTGAAATTTTGAAACTGTAATTTATGAAAAAAAGAGCAATTATGATGTAAAGGGTATCAAAATTTACAAAACAAAGCTTAATATTTATTTGTTTACTTTATTAAACATTTCTTTCAATGCAAGTTGTTTAAGTTGCTTCGTTTTTTGTGCTAATACTTTCTCTTTAATTGTATAAACAGACATAATTTCTTGTTCAGTTACAAAGTTCCACTGGTCAAGTCCTGTAATTGCTGTGTCAAGAATACCGACTAACTTGTCAATCAAAATTTTGTCGTTTTCAATAACCTCTCTGTCACTTTCTTCAGTATCAGAAGCAGTATTTTCTGGATCTAGAACCATACTACAGATTTTGCCGTCCGTTAATTGATTAATGATTGGGGCATTGTCGTTGCAATGAAAAACTTCTGTTATATCATCTTCATTTATTAACACCTCTCCACATTTCTTTACAAAATCCAATAACTGGAAAATTTCGCCTTTAGTTTGCGATTGTCCGAAAACTGCGGCTATCATCTTCATCGTCCTCACCATGAAATACGGTAGCTGGCTATAAATTATGCCAAGCATATTTTAATGTATCTGGAGACACATCCTCTCAATGCGCATGGGCATGCATAAAGCATACAAAAATAGTTTGTGGCTTTGAGGTCCGGATTATAGATCATTCCGGATAATGGTCGTCCAGATTACGTACTTTGTACTGTACCTAACATATTAGGAATTTTGCATTAAAAATCAAAGTTTTTCAGGTGTAGCTCTGATCATTATTTGTAGATCATACCTAGCATTAAATCATTCAATTTATTTATAAAATTATTAAAAACTGAATCATACAGTATTTTTCCCCAATATAAATTATAATTATGTTTCTAGTTTGGCAAGATTTGAGATACATAGTTAACACGACATACTGTCCTTGCATTTATTTTTCTACTGTCTACTTTCCATTACGTCTTTTAAAAATAGATACCATGGTAGCGCTAGTACCATAGTTTTAAAAAACTTTCAGATTATTATATGTCAAATACATATTAGAAAAAAGTACAGGATACTAAAAGTGCTGTAACATAATTTTTGTTCCAAATTAGAAAATAAAACTACTGCTTGTTGCAGCACAATTCACATTTAATAAAACAAGCACCCTTTTAGCTAAGGGTTAAATTTGAATCAATAGATAAAATATAGTAGATAAAATGCAATTATTTGTATTACTCTATGCACAATAAGATCACAATTGTTTCAGCACAATGCATGTTTAATAAAATAAGCACCCTTTTAGTTATGGGTTACATTTATAGTACATTATGTTCTATAAATATAAAAGATAAAAATGCAATTATTTGTATTACTACATACAATAAAATCACAAACATAAAATTATAAAGTACAAATATGAAAAACTAAAAATTTTAAAAAATATTACGATTCATTAAACTAACCTCAAAGGGGATATATCAATATGGTCCCTGATATAGTCTAAACTTGATCGTAAAATATTATCTTTCACTGCAGCATCAGAAAAAGAAGGCATCTTCTCTGCATCTACAGAAGTATTTTCATTTTCCACTTCAAATTCCATTTTAACTTTCACAGATGGTATTGATAAATCAACTAAATGCTTGTCTGAATAATCAGAGCAATTTGCAGATGAAACAGATAATTCTGAAATAAGAAAATTCCAATCCATTCAACAACATGAAAAAGAACATATTTTAAGTTTAAACTTGTTCTTAAATATGATTCTGAAAGAATGGTTGAGTAAGCCTAATTGCATAAACTGTGAAAATGCTAAATGAGTTTCAAACATTCATATTATTTTTAGAAATCTAAAGTGAATCCAAGTGTTGCTGACAAAAACACTTCTTTCTAAAGTATGACTTACAAAATATTTATGCTGGAAGACCGTAAACTCTATGTTCTATCACACAGTTAGACTTACACCTTAAAAAGAATTCAGCCCTTTAAACAATAAAAATTCAAGTTGTAAAATTATGCCCCTTATGCAATGCAACTATCATCAATCAGTTTATCAATTTACAGCAAAAGAAAAATATCAGTAGTCCTAATTATTCTCCTTACCAACTAGATTTGACACCAGTTAATTACTTTCTGCTCTCTAAAGTTAAATTCTGCCTTAAAAGACCATTAAGAGAATCTCAGAAGTTTAAGGGGAAAAAAATGATGGAATAAAACAGTGCTTTTTCTATTAAAGGATCCAAAAGTTTTATGAATATGCCAATAGATACATGTACATAGCATGGTAAAGCTGAAGGAAGGTACATTTCCTTTAAATCTCTTTCTCTCTTTTTACTTGTACAAAGGAAGTATTGCAATTACAAAAAAATTCGGGTTTCAACATAAATATCCATTCTGATCGTTCTCGAATCCATATCGACTATTTTTTTCATGATGTCTGTACACACATATGTATCTTGAATAACCTAAAAATTATTGCCCACCCCTTTATCTGGCCTTTATTTTCACAATGTTAGTCATAGTCACATACTTCCAGTTACAGAAGAGTTTTAAATGAAGAAAATATTCATGTTTTATCAATTTCAAATTGAAAAAACAATTAATTTTGGGAAAATAACAAAACTTTTAATGCAAAGTTTGGGAAATATTTATGCTCATTATAAAAGAAATTGGAAGTTAAAGATACAAGAAGTTTGACTCCTGTACAACAAAAATTGACCAGGATATTTAATATCAAAATTTGCAATTTTTAGTTTCATTTTCAACTTGCCTTGAGGGATTGGTTAATTGAATTTAAATTTCTCAAGGAAACAAGTTTTAATGAAGTGCAGCAAAAAATGTGCATAACTTAATACACTGTACAAGGAAGTCATGTGGTATCCACATCAGATTTTTTTTAATGAATCTTGGAGGTGCGAAAAATGTTTATTTGGTATTATTCCATTAGCGAAGCTTCGGTCATTACCAAATTCCATTAGCAGGGTACCATAGATAAATCATAAATGTTGGTACTAAAAATGAGTAAGTTATGAATAATAACTCATAAATGTTGTTGCCAACATATATGATTGATAAATGGTAACAACCACAAATATTGTTGCAAATAAACATCAGAAAAAAATAAAAGACTCTCATACCCAATTATTTTATTACATGCACACTAATTATTCAAAATTAAAGAAGATAAATAAAGGAAATGACAAGAAAATAATAAAATAAAAATTGATTATAAAGAAACAAGAGATTAATTTTAACAGCAAAGATGCAATTATAAATATCTCCTAGTATCCCTCAAAACATTTCTTTTTAGTACGCAAATGTCATCATATAAACTCTATCATATACGATTCTAAATGATGGTGAGATGTTTCACACTGCCCCCAAATCATTCTGTTTCAGATCCAGTGTCAGGACCAAAAAAGTGTAGTTTATGATGAAATGTTTAAAGCCAACATCTTGCAGTTTGTAAGTTTTGTGTTCTTTTCCACAATAAAAAAGAAAATGCTTCCATCTGTGATATTTCTTTCTATCTTGGTCATAAAAGTTTTTGTTGTATGATCGGGATTGGCACCTAGTTATCTGAGTTAAGGCAAAGCCACGAGGGCTATCTGCCTAAGCGAATGGATGCTTTCGTGGAGTTATTTTCTGAGGAAAACTTATTTTCACATTACATAAGGAGAAAACCATGCAGCCAGCCCAATCACCTTGGTTCAAGACCAAACCATACCAACATTCAGTCGTCTTAACCCCTTGGCCACTGGTAGAGTCCAGGGAACCCCTACTTTTATGTTTTTATCGCAATGACAAACCAGTTACAAAAACTAAGAGAGTCAACTCTTGACACCACAAGCATATAAATCATAAAGCTGTATGGAAAAAAAACATGGTACATCAGACCATGTCTGTATTCACAATCCTTTGTTTCCTCAACATAATCATAATTTGCATCGCTGTTTCAGTGTCGAATTAGAACTCAACAGATGATTATTGGAACAAAGTCTTTCTTTGGAGATAATTCCACTGTCTTGGAACAATTTTATGAATGTCTCTTCATCATTAGGTAATTGCCAGATTGTAAGTCCATCTTAACATTTGCATAAAAAAAATAAGCCAACAGTAAAAAAGTGTTACTGAATCTAAAATGAATGAAGCAATTTTCAATATATGGTTGTCATGAACATGAAGGAAAAAATCTTTAAAGTTTGCAAGTTCAAGTCAGTTTTCGCTAAGATTTGGGATGTTTCTGTCTAGGGTCTCTATAATAGAATTGTATCTTTAATCACAAAATAAATAAATAAAAAATATTTAAAAACTATAGAATCATTTGGGAAAAGAATTCAAAAGTCATAAAGCAATTTTAAACCATCCAAAGTTTTGTAGTTTGAAAGTGTAAAAATTTTAAGCTCTAGCAAAACTATCAGTTAGTCAAATAATTAAATTATAGTCATTAAAAAAAAAAAAAAAAAAGAGAGAGAATAGAAAAACAGATCTGGAGATTTTTCAACACAGCATTTTTCAAACCCTGCTAAAAAGGTAATTTTTTGGAATAATTAATGCATGGACACTTTTATTATGATAAACTGGATCTACAGTGCATTTTGAAAAAATTTAAAAGGTATTATATTATTACAAGAGATATATTACCAATGTAACCAAATTCTTTCTACATCATAGAACTTCAAAGTCATTAAAATTTTCTTTATTGAGTGAAAAATTAGTAAAAGAATCTATAAATGTGATTAAATGTTTTAACACCCTTAGCGCTCCGCATATTTTTGTACCACTGCCTACCAGCAACTCTGGCACATTTTCACAGTAGATCAAGTGAAACGGAGTCTTATTTTAAGTGAGTATTTTTGACTAGCTTTTCAGTTTTTTTTTGCCTGCATTCATCAAATTCTTAACCTGAAGAAACCTATTACTTGCGCTTGTGAATGTTTTTAATTTAATTTATTTTATACATATGCACTTTCTTCTTGCAAATGAAAGAGAAATTTTAAATTTTTTAATTCACCGTGGTGTGATATCTTTGGAAATAATCACCCTTGTGCATCCTGGGTTTACTTGGGCAAGTGTCACATCTAAGTCTTCCTGCAAATCTTCATCTTCACTTTCAATAATTCTCATTCGTCATCTATTTGGTAGTATAATTTTGGAGCCACTACTTGAAGTTTCAGAATTATAATTAACATTGTCTTTTGCTATATCTTTTAACACTTGAAAATCAAACACGTGTTCACTACCACTCGAAATTCTCATCATAATTATTTTTCTACGGGTTGCTAACAATCAAAAAGGTTAAAAAATGGTTTAATCCTAACAGTACAGAGACTGAGCACATTTTAACTACAGGTAACAATTGCCAACGCCAACAATACTGCAGCATCTTAAGCATAATCATGCTAAAAACATTTAGCTCTACACATATATTTATTGGTAGAAAAATAAAGCATTTTTTAAGGTACTAGTTAAAAATATTCTGAAAAAAAAAAAGTCTACTAAATTAAAAACAAACTTATCCATGCAACATCTTCTAAAAATGTTCTTAGATTGATACTAAAGAAGAAAAACTTGGAAGAAACTCATTTATGATGCACTGAACCCCATTATTAGACTGAATGAAATTAGATGCTTAACCACTTTTGCTAAAAAGACGTGCCACGCACGTCGAGATACTTTTGTCTTAAACCGTGCGCAAAAATGAAAATAATGTGGTGCACGCGTCACCTAACAACGAGATTGTTTATTTCTCGAGTTACAGCTCTGGATTGCACATGCAGATCAGAGCGGCGTAAATGAAACCTTTTACCGCTTGTTATATTGTAGCGCACGGCACTGCAACTGTGAAGTTTAGTCATAGCGCAAGTGGTTAATATTGACTCAGAAACCAGAAAAAACTGTTCCTTGACAGTGCAAATTTCACCAATGAAGTCAAACTTTATTGAAATTATATTTATTATATTATAGGCTTGAAAATGTAAGTAAAGAAAATAGAGACATGATTGAATAAATCAAAGATTGATGAAGGCTCCATGGGTTTCATCAAACTAAGATATTTTTAATGCGGTGATTCAAGAACAACCAGCAGAAAAATGCAGTGAGGAAAATAAAGATAAATGAAAATAGCAAAGGGTGGCTGCACTGAGACAATGAAAAATTTACAAAATTAGTTAAAACTTCGTGGGTGTATAAAATGAGTTTAATGACATAACAGCTTCGTACAATGTTTGATATATTATTTCAAAAGCATCAATATGGCTTTCCAGAAAAAAAGAATATATCAGACCCCCCCCCAAATGAAAATTTCATTACTATATCTCTATATATTACTATCTATATCTATATATTACTATTATCATATTATTATTATACATTAAACCCTATCTTAGGCAGTACACAATATGTGATTCATTTAAAACCTCTGGAAAGTCGTATTTGGGGGTATCCAATTATTAATGCATGAATTAGAAAGGATAATGCAATGGGTTAGAATGATAAATGCAATGGGTTATGCATTTATCTTTTTTCTTTATACTATCTTTAATTAACTACTTTGTTTGATTGTTTTTAATGCAATATTTTCCAACAATAATTAAATGAAAATATTTATGTTTCTTACTTGTTGCTCTGGTTGAAGTTGTTTCACATCGAGCTCGTGAAGCACGATTCCCTTGGTCTTTTTTCCGCTATGAAGCGATAAAAAGCAAAAATTAAAAAATTTTACAACTAAAATCTCTTTTTGACATAGATTTAATAAATATTTGTATAATTTATAATGACATGAGAGAGCTAAAAAAAATTAAGAATCTGTCATTTAACATGGTTAATTAATTCCTGTGAAATACCATGTTAAATGAGATTATGCTAATCGATTATAAACAAATACATACAAAATACAGTCATTCATTTACCAATTATTTCTCACTATCTGATTTTCGGTTCTCTTTAACTATTTATACAGAATCAAAAGGTAGTAAAATAAAATGCGATATTTATAAATATATATTTTTTAATTATACAGGCAAAATTTAATCGATGCTCTTTCAGCAAAAACTTATCTAAAGCAATGTGAACATTCCTTTGCTTACGTTTTCTTGTAATACCTCACTTAATTATCAACCACATAGTGAACTTCTTACTGAATTCGGATCCAAGTCTATAATTTGTAACTCTTCAGCAATATCAAAAATATTTTACTGCTACTCCCAGTTTATTTCACTTTTAGTAAATTTTTTCAGTTGTAAATGCATCATCATTAAATCCATATGCACATTCAAGATAAATGCTACCAAGATCGCTAGAATTTAACTCATCATGATATGAGTTCATCAATTCCTATACATATTAAAAAAAAACAAGTATATTTCATTACCATCTAATTTACATCCAATGGCTGCAGAGTCAATAGTTCTGATCAGTTGCTAGCTATACCTAATGTTGTTCAGTGGCAAAAGTTCTTGTACAACATTAAAAAGTTCTTGCACAAGTTCACATATCAGTCTGATGACTATTAGATATTCTCAGTCGAATATTTGACACTGAATATATCTTACAGCTGGAACCAATGAAATAGGAATATCCCTCATATACTGCTTATTCAAAACTCGTAAGATAATTGACTTAAAGATTGCAAAGTGTCCAAGATCCATGAGCAACAAAACAAATTCCATACTAGCAAATAAAACTCTATATTAATGTTCTCATATACATCACTAATCGCAAAAGGATGATCAATATTACCTGAAAGCAATGATACTTTAAAGGTTAGATATTTTACTCAGCGTGATCCATGAGCTAAAGCATATAAATTAGAAAATTTAAAATTCACCCTGCATTTAATAAAAGCAAGTTGCATTTAGTAAATGATGTTAATTCAAAAACATGCCTAATGAAACGAAAGTGAAAAATTATTCTGCCAGAAATTGTACTGCCAAATTTCAAACTTGAAACACAAATTAAGTTTGAAGCCATAGATGTTTGTAATACTTCTCTCCCAAACAAATGCAGTATTATGCTACCCCCTTGTAGCCTGCTCCAGCAGTCCCTTATTGCAGTGGCAGAGATCTGTACTCTACCAATCTCAGCACCGGGGTGGGGATAAAAAAACAACCCTGGCAATTCCATGTAATCTGTGGGGGAAGGGCTTAATCCCAACTTCCCGCAGGCTAAGGTGGAGTAAATCCTCAAGCTCACAGTACCAGTAGCTGTGCAGTGTGTTCACAAGCTGCCAGATTAGTATTTTAGCATAAATCCTCAGAGCGAGGCAGCCACAACAGTACTGGTGAGTAGCAAAGGACCAGTCAAACCACCAGGTTTATAATGCCCTACCTTAGCATGATCTCTGACTGCCAGGAGTAGTGACTCTGGTTGAGCAGTTCAGCAGTGGGGAAGAGAGAATTAAAATGTCTGTCGTCCAGTAAATGTGGGACTGCTGAGTAGCAAGTGAAACGTATAGAGCTCTCCAAATTTGTCTGATTTCTTGCTTCCCGCCTAATACGGTGAATCTAACTTGGGGAACAGGCCATGTCATGGCTTAAGTAAAATGTGGCAGTAAGCATAACTAAAATATTACTACTTTGTAAGGTCTCTTGGGCACAGTAACACTTCTAAAACTTTTTTGTTAGACCTAACACTTTTTATAAATATTTAGTATTTTACAATTTACCATCATATCTAGTATTTTTTTCCCTTCTAAATAACAGAAAAACAAAATGAGAGAGTTAGACATAGGAATTTATTCATCACCTTCTCTGCAATAGAAGATGGCATTTAATGTTTTAACATTTAATTACTAAATTCTTAATTAAAGCATATTTTGTCTTAAATTCACCCTACCAAAACTTAATAAACTTAGATTACTTATATTACGCTGTCATGAAAACTGAAACGGCATAAAGGAATCATCAGAACTAAATGAAAGTTATTTACATATGACCAACAGTAATAAAAAGAAACTTCTAAATTTACAAAGCATTACAAGAATATTAAATGACAAAAATCCATATTTGGTGAAGCTGCCATGATCTGCAATGAGAACTTGTACTTATTGTAGCACACCAAACCAAACAGGTTTTGAATGCATACCTGAAACATAGCAAACTATAGCTGCCAAACAATTATTATTGTAAAAATATTGCTCAACAATGAAATTTACATTTTTCTTTCATGTAGTGATACATTTATAATAACCCGAAACTGTCAACCGACATGTTGCCTTTTTTTCTCCCCATTAGCAACATGTTATCACACAAATGCGGCAAAATTCAGATGACTGAATGTAGAAGTTTTACACAGTTATTACTTTGTTATTGTCAAATTACTTTTCTTGTTCAGCTGTACTGTTTAAAATCAAATCTATTTAATATGTTAAAATTAACATGGCTTTAATTAAAATTTATGCAATAATTTGATTTAAAAAGTAGAGAAAGATTTTATTGCTTACCTTTGCTTTACCAAATGAAGACGAACTTGAATAGCGTGACTCTTGAGATACTCCAAATTTCTTTTTCAGTGTAGAATTCCAGTGATTTTTTATAGCATTATCCGTTCTGAAATTAAAAAAAAAAAAATTATGAATCGTATATAAACAGATTAAGCATGTGTACACTCAGTGTTGCTGAATTCAAGTTTTATTTTAAAACGAATTATTGTTATTGTACAATTTTCTAAAGACGTTTTTGAGTTATATGTATAAATTTCCAAAGTGCAATTAAATATTTGCAGCATGCTATTAGAAATTTCTACTAAAGACATAAATACTGAATTTTACTTAAAAGCTGTTAATAGAACATCTGTGAGATTTAGAACATTTAATATTTAAAATTCATCAGCTCAATGAATTTGGCTTTTTAAACCGTAAAATGGTCTCTGTATAAACTTTGCCTAGGTGCACAAAATGGCATTTGGATTTTATTTTGGAATTTGGATTTTATCTCAAGTTAAGAAAACTGGCAAAATTATTAAAAAATTACTTGACTTCATCAGCATCCCAATCTCAATGTTGGAAGCTACAGAAGATAACCAATGACTCCTTGTCAACAAGGAGACTACTAAGCTTGACTTGCTTTTCAGTTTTTTTGCCTGCATTCATCAAATTCTTAACCCGAAGAAACGGACAAAACAACCTCGATTTCCATTCCCGGCAGTAAACACAGGGTTGCCACTCAAAGAGGAGATTGAAATTCCCTGACTTTTCCAGGTTTTCCAGGTATGTTTTGAGAAAATTCCAGTCTATCCGCGTAATGTATGTTGGCTATGCTAAGAGGTAAATTAATTATGGTATTACTTGTATTATGTAGCAAATTCACTTAATTATTCAATAAATCCCAGAGGACATTTATTCTTAATTATTCTTAGTACACTTTGTTTGATAATTTTGTTTACTTTTCTGCTTAAAAAACTTAATAAAATTTAAGATATATACATTGGATAACAACTGTACGTTTTATTTAATTATTACTCATGATCATCCCCAGTTCAACACGAGGCTAATCCGGTTCTTATAAATCACAACGCAATGCTAAAAGTTAGCTTAGATTTTAGGTAAATTTAATTTGTGTGAGGTGTATTCTTAAAAGGCACCTTAACACTTGAAAACACAAATATAATTATAATAGGAGTTGTTTTCTCCACTGAAGATTGAAATTTGAATCTGCCCAATCTGGAATAAAATAAGGCTTTTTTGCAGACATTCTGCAGCTAAAAAAGAAAGAAAGAAATCTATTTAATGATATTTTTTTACTAAATTGATGTATTTTATATTTATTTCGCAGCATACAAAAGGAAAAAATATGTGTGCATTAAATTTCGTGATGTCATCATACTGCTAGAATTAATTTGAGGATTATGCCAGAGAAAATTTGGGAAATATTATTTACTAATGATAAATTTTAGAGAGAAGAAGCAAATTTTAGGAACATAACAAGTACTTAAAAATTAATTAGAATAATCAACTTTTAACGAATTGACAGTGTCTCACAAAGTGATGGGACACTTGTGCTTTACAAAAGGAAACTGTAGTAAAAATAAATTAAAAAAAAAACATGTAAAAATTTTTTGTGGGTGTGTTTCATACTTAAATTTAGTAACAATTATTACATAACATACATTTTCTCAAAATATTAAAATATTAATTTAATAAAAATACAATTGTTTAGAACGGAGCAAAAAATGGCTCACATTAAGTGATGGGACACTTACTTTTCCATCAAATATTTATCCAAAAATTTTACTTTTAAAAGGTTTTAATATTTTGTTGGATTTCCTTTTACTTTTAAAACATGATTTAATCTTCTTGGGATGGATTCGACTAATTTTTTTGTGATTTCTGGAGTGATTTTACCCCATTCTTCTTGAAGCACCGATTTTAATTGTTGTTTTGAAGAAATGGTGTGTTTGCGAATTCTTGATTCCAATTCTTGCCAAATATTCTCTATGGGATTTAAGTCTGGAGATTGTGGTGGTGTTTTTTATTATTTCAGGACAGTTATACAGCAGCCAGAGTCTAACGTTCAAAGCACTGTGGGGGTCATTGTCCTGGTAGAATTTAAAATCGTTATGAAGGTTCAATTTTCGTGCTGAAGATTTCAAATTTTGATTTAAAATGTCAATATACTTGTACTGATCCATTATACTGTCAATAAAAACAAGATTACCAACTCCAGCGGACGACATACACCCCCATACCATAACTCCTCCTCCACCATGTTTTACTGTTGGCACCAAGTTCTGTTTGCGAAATTCTTTCCCTGGGTTTTCTCCACACCAAGATTCTACCGTCAGAACCAAATATATTAAATTTACTCTCATCAGCAAATATAACTTCATTCCAGTAATCAGAATTCTTATTTATGTTGGATTTTGCGAAAGCCAGTCTGAGTTTTCTATTCTTTTCACTTACGAAGAATTTTTTCCTGGCTGCTCTACCGTGATATCCAGCAGATCGAATTACTCTTCTAATAGTCTCAGGATTAACAATTACTCCATATAATGCTTGTAAATCAGCAGCAACTTTAGGAGCACTCATTCTTGGATTTTTTTTAATATTTCGAACGATAATTCGCTTTATTCCATTGGATAGCTTTGATGGTCGGCCAGGTCTTCTTTTATCCTGAATCATATGATTCTTTTTATATCGTTTAATGATATTGAAAAACTGTTGAATGACTCAAGTTAACTGTTTCAGCAGTTTCTCTCTAATAGATTTTCCACGTTCAATATGCAAATTAATAACTAATTTTCGAATTTCAGGCAAAGTTTCTTTTCGTTTAGCATTCATGGCTGCACAGAGCTAAAAGACACAAAAATTCCAAAAAAACTAGAGAGAAATACTGCAGACGATTTTATAAATTATTGCCAATTGCTTTTGAGTAAAAATAAAAACCCAAAAAATATTTTTACGTAGTAGGATCTAATGGTGTCCCATCACTTATGTGAGCCATTTTTTGCTCCGTTCTAAACAATTGTATTTTTATTAAATTAATATTTTAATATTTTGAGAAAATTTATGTTATGTAATAATTGTTACTTTATTACAGTTTCCTTTTGTAAAGCACAAGTGTCCCATCACTTTTGTGAGACACTGTATATGGTTATCCTAGATGATTGATTACTATTTTTTTTATTTTACTGCAAAATGACAAGGTATTTATTAAAAAAAAAAAGGAAAAAAAGATTTTGCGGTAAAATCCTAGTATACGATACGGCCTTCGCATGATTTTGAAAATTGTCGCCAAGAACAAAATGACCCGTTTACTGCTCATCATCATGTCGCCAAATCCCGCTGTACCATACATGGAGATTATTCTGACTAAAGAATGTCTATGTAAAAAGCGGAGGGAAAATTTGCCAAGGGATTTGACGACGGAACAGCCAGAATTTCCCTCTCCGCGATGTGTACAGGAAATTGAGAAACACGTGTTAAGAAGAAACGTTCTTTGACAAAAAAGAAAACTATGAAAATCTGTTTTTAAATTATTGCGAAAAATCCAAGAAGAAACGCTTTATCAAAGAACGTTTTTTCTTGGATTTTTCGCAATAGTTTTAAAAACAGATTTTCGTAGATTTATTCCCCCCCCCCGTCAAAATAACTAATTCATGAATTAATTTACTTGCGCCAAAAAATATTTTCTTTTCCTTTAGAGTTTAAAGATATTTTAAAAGATATTCATTTTATGAATTCTTGATAACGTGACCTTCGAACTTCGACACCGGTTTCGAGCTTTGGCGACAGATATATCGCACATGCACAGTTGTTTCCCGCTATGATGGAACCGGGCCACGTCTGTTGCAGAGAGGTTTTCCTTCTTTACAATACATATTTTTTTAATTCTAACCTTCATGGTACCGTATACTAGGATTAAACCTATTTTGTTTTATACGAGAACAGGTACTTTCTTTAGTTCATGCACTGCACACGCGATTCTCGAGAAATCGTTTTTTACTGGAAACCAAAAGTTGCAGGAAACTTGCTTGCCTTTCTAAAAAGACAATCAAATTGGAGCTGCGAAAATTGGCTCTATGCCAGCTGCCCGAATGACACTCACGTGATACACAATTCGCCAAAAAAGTGATCTCTTCCGACGTCGGCGCAAAACTCGCCTTTTTCGGCGGGATCGTTGTATGAAATTCCCTGACTTTTCCAGATTTTGACTAAAACACTTAAATTCCCTGACTTTTCCCTGAATTTTTTGGTCAATTTCCGAATTCCCTGACTTTTTCCAGTTTTCCCGGTAGCGTGGCAACCCTGTAAACATCAAATTGGTGATTTCCTGGCTATGGAAAGCGCTCTTTGATACTAAAAATGTTTTCGTCAACATTCCGATTAATGTTGATGAGAACAGACTAAGCAACAAGAAACCATTGAGCCCAATCCATGAGTATAATGTTCCTGTGGCAAAATGCTTTAGCTTCAATGACGATTGCAATGGGATCTCATTACAATAAGACTCCATTAAAGATTTAATCTTAGAATTCAAAACTGCACCCCAAAAAACAACGTAACTCTGGAAAGTGATGTGATGAACACCAGGTCCTGTGAAAGCAAGGAAACCATCCTTCCAAATGACTGCACCTGGAAAATTTTTAATTTGCGAGCACCAATCCCTCCAACCAAACCAACCAAGGAAATCAACCAAACCTGCAGTGATGGAGAGTAAGCCAGTTAACAGGAGGGGGGGAATTGATTTTCTTAATTGAAACATGTAGAACCTTTAATCCAAAATTAAAGAGCCTTTCTTTACACAAATAACATAGATGTTGTTCTTATTACAAAAGTCATGCTAGCTACCTCATACTATTCAATGAACATTTTGAATTATAAGAGTTTTTGTATGGATAGCGACAGTAAAAGTAAAACACAGCAGAAGTGCAGTGACAATTTTCGTAAGTTCAGCTTTAAATAATATCAGTCAAGAAATAGCCTTAACTCTACAATCCTCCAGATTAGAAGCTGCAGGAAGCATAAATTCTCAATCTTTTGGAAAACATTCTCCATACTATGCTATGTCGTGACTTGTATGTAAAACATATTAGTTGGGGTTGTCGCATATCTAACAGGAATGGAGACATCTTTTACAGTATCTCCTTTAATCACTCATTTTAACTCCATCCTCCAGATGAAAACACTTTCAAATCACTTCATCTCAGGCACAATCCTGACATTTTACACATTTTATCTATTCTACAAATATTCCTCTCTCAATGGAAATGATCACTAACCTCTATTCCTCTATTAGCTGCTTATCAAAAAATTTTCATGTACTCGCATGCTCCCTCTGTCAAATCAGAAATCAACAGAATGAACAAAGAGATTAAAAGTTTTGATCAGCGAATACAGGTAAAGTTCCTCAGAAGATGATGCTCTCTGAACTTTTATTTGAAATTTAAAAGGCAACAAAACCAGCAATAAATCAATCAACACTAACTCTGGGTTTGTTTACATGGACGGAGACAAAGCAAACAACATCTGTACTTCAAGCAACAATTCTAGCCTAAGCAACAATATTTTCACCTAATATGTACATAATACTGTTGAAAATTGGCTGCTCCAACCTTGCAGTGAAAATGTTCAGTTCACAATCCCTTCGGAAATCAAGAAAATAGCTAATACGTTGAAGAACCAAGGCCCCGGGGAAGAGATGATGCTTCAAGCAAGATAATTTTAAAACTTTCAAGAAATCACAAAAGTCTACAGCATATTCAACACTTGTCTAATTTAAATTATTTCCCTGCAGCATGCAAAAACATTATGGTTATTCTTATTTGTGAACCTGGCAAAAACAATTGCAAAGTAGAAAACTTCAAGCAATTATCTTATTGCCTTCTCTTAGAAATATCTTTGAAAAATCATTTTAATAAACTAGACCCAATTTTCAATACACTGCCTAAGCAGTTTGGATTTAGAAAAGGAATGCTGAATGCAGTTTATCCACATCATTGAATTTGTCAGCACTACCATCCACATCATCAGCTTGTAGTTTTCCTTATGCTAGATGTGGCAAAAGCCTTTGACTGTGTCAGGCATAAGTGCCTTATATATAAGCTTATTAACGTGGGCATCAGTGAAGAAATAGTACCACTAATTAACTCTTTTCTAAGCCACCATATGCCTTCAGTGTCAAGCAAGGCCAAGCAAGGCAGTTTCTACTCCAATACAGAGATTGAAGCTACAGGGTAGTAGGCCAGATCTTGTAACTCTGTCATTGTTATGGATTTTTCCGCCTTCAATGATGATAAAAATTCCTTCACCACTTGTTATATGCATGATACAGTCATCCTCTCAAAATCAGTGAACCCCAACCGTGCTACAGCCAGGCTCCAGAACAGAATACACAAGACAGAAGACTAGTACTCAAACTGGAGGAATTAATAATAAAAAATCTTAACTCATAATAAAAAATCCTGACTCATCTGCAGACATAAGAGAAGAGGCATCAAACAAGATTTCACTTTCTTTAATGAAAAAATTCCCCGAATCACCAGTGCAAACTATCTGCAAGTTCACTTCAGTGGCATTCTCACCTGAAATGCTCAGATCACTAATTCTATCAGCAAAACACTGGGAAGGCTTCCAAGATCAAGCACTTCCATCAAAAACAGCATTTATACTGCGATCATCCAGCCCATTCGCAACTATGTCTCGCTTGCCTGAAGTGCTGCCACAAAAACTGATTTCAGTAAGCTGCACTGAGAAAGGTGTTTTGAAAAATTGCTGAGACCCTTTGGTTAATTAGGAATGAAATTTTTCACTGAGACCTAATAATTGATCCCATAACAGACCCCCATCCACAGACTGAATACAAATTTCTTCATCAAAGACAAAAATAACGATCTCGTACATTATGCTGACCATTTTCAAATAGGGACCTTTTGTTACATACTACAACAACCTCAAGTCTTTTACTAACAACTTCCTCAAAAGCGTTTCTCCCTTTTTAATTTTTTTTGCACTAAGACTTGACCTGTAAAAATTACGAAAGCAGGCCATCGCTTTATTCAAATTAATTTACTCTAGTCTCATGATTTTTGCTGATTGATGAATTTTTTCAGCTCTCTCCTACATCTTTAATTTTACAGTCATCAGCTGACAACTGCTCACATTCCTGATTGGTCAAAGAATTTTTTCAGCTCTCTATGAGGTCCACAATACGATGCACTTTTGCCTGCTTTCAATCCTAGTTAAGTGAGGAAAAATTCCGTTCATCGCTAGCAAGACTTTATTTCCTTTACGAGGCCTGGCCTTCCTTTTATTTATTTTTCTCCCAGCATTTCTCCAACTTTGGATCTTCATTTAAGATTCCATATGCATACTTTCCTACTGAAACTTCATTAAAGTGAAAGTAATAGCTCATAAAAGTATTCACTGAAACTAGCATAAAAAAAAAGAGTACCAAAGTATGCTAAATTTATTTTTCTGAGAAGGTAAACACTGTTATATATAAAAATTCAGAGCAAAGGGAAAAAAATAAAGTGCATTAACTGACTGAGAAAATTAATTTAGAATTTGAGCAGGGTTCATAGCCACATTTTAGTTAAAAAATAAGCACCTATAAGCACTTTTCAAGCACATTTTAAGAAAAAAAATAAGCACCTGTCTAATTACATCATACACAACTTCATAACCTTAAAAATTAGACTTGTAATTTAAAATATGAGAAATGAAGTACTTATTAAGAGAGAATAAGCATTACCTCAACCATGAAAAATAAATACTTTTTTGTTTTTAATTTTAAATAATAGTTCAATTTAAAGAACTAGTTTACAATGAGAGAAAAAAAAACTATGAAGAACTAAACTATATTACAAGATTTAATGATGAAATTTCAGTTCAAAATAGAGAAAATAAATAATAATAAGGCATATTTATTGTATTCGCTTGGAACCTAATAATAAATACAATTTATTTTCCACTCATATTGATATTTAAATAATTTAAATCTAAATTCTGAACATTTCCTAAATTTTCATTCTATATCAGTTTTCTCTTAAAAGATATTGCAAGCAAAGTAATTTAAGTAAAAAAGAGGAACATTTCTGAAATCAGAAGATAGAAATTTGCTTCCTGCAGTCATCTTTAACTTAACTAACCCGCATACTTGGCTTAAATTAACCAATTTAAAACTAACCCGCATACTTGGAAACTGGCGAATATTCGGGCAGTCGAGTAAAACTGAAGGAGCGGAGGGTAGACTGTAGCCGCTCTTTAGATTTTTCCGCTAAATAAATGCTTTTGACATTTCAATATGTGCATCATATAAAAATAAACCAACGGAACTAAAACATATTCTGCTTAGCAAGCTTAGTAAAACTCTTTTAAGTGTTCATAAACAAATCTCGGATTGAACATTAAAATTAATTATCTCTGCAAAATATCGCAAACGTAATTGCGCAATATGTGCGCCGTAATTCTTCCCTAAGTGATATTACGCAATCGGAATCAACAACTGGCGGTATTGGAAGAATAAAGAACTAAATAACTGGGGTGTTTTTCATTCTAATTTTCAACAGATGGCGTTAAATTTCCGGAATACAATCATTCTTCGCTTCAGTTGGTAGACCGCAGAACTTTTAGTCCTATTCAATTCAGATTGGAAAGTGACCAAAAAAAAAAAAGGGGGGGCGGAACTGTAACAGTTTCAATATTCAAGATTTTGCGGAGAAAGAGGAGACCTCCCAACCTTCGTACTGTATAATATATTGGCCAAAAAAATGAAATTATTTTGACTATTTCATTACTTTCCCTTTATTTAAGCCATTCCGAATATCATTCCTTAGAAAGCTAATCTGTGTTAAAACACAACCATTTTTGGAAGTTTACTATACTTCAGCAGTTACTGCAACTATGTTATTATAAACATTCATATATATATACTCATAATATAAGCATAAAGATCATAATAAACACGAATATGAACTGACCAAGCGAAACGAGAATGCAAATTTTTAAGATCTTGATAGAAATTCAAACGTGTGTAGTATTTGGATGGAAGGAAAAGAATGCTGAATGTAGCGGAATTTTCTACAGCTTTCGCAATTCTTTGACCAATAGAACGACAGGCACCTGTCTGTACTCTTCCTGCACACCAATGGTTATGTTAATGCAGAGAAAGGGGGGAAAGCTATTTCAGCGAGTATGATTCACCATCTGGCATTCCATATTAGGAAGAAAAGTTGTTTATTTAGTTTCGGCTTTGGTACAGGGAAAAATAGCAGGTTCATTAAAAAAAAAAAAAAAAAAAAAAAAGCACTAAAAGCAAAAAATAAGCACTAAAAACAAAAAAAATAAGGGCTTTAAAGAAAAAGTAAGCACCTATAAGGGCCTTTATATTTTATTTTCAAATATAAGGACTTATAAGGACCGCTACGAACCCTGTTGAAATATACATTGCTTCTCAATATTTGTTATTTTTTATTTAATTCAGTAATTCTCTTTTTGTTTTAAAGTATTAAAAATAACCAATATCTAATATACAACATCCAAAATTTATATTAGCATTATTTCATAAAATACACATTCATTTATAGACAGATACTTATTCTCTACCTTCCTGGTAGCTGCTTTGCTATCTTAGACCACTGGTTTCCCCAAAGACTGTGATAATGACATATTTGTTGCTCTTCTTCTACTGTCCATGCAGTTTTCTTTATCTCTGGATTTAAATGGTTATGCCATCTGAGAGGGGAAAATGTACTATTTGAACTTTCCAAAAAACACAAATGCAGAAAAACAATATTATCCTGAACAAAATTTTTAAAAATATATTTATTTATTTATTTAATTGATTTACATTAAATGCATTAATTCATTCAATTCTTAACATTTTTTTAGTTAGAAATTTTTAAGAGGGGGAAGGGAAAGAGATGAATTTTCACATACAGTATTTTCAGATCAGATCTGAAACATGATAAAAGCAGTAATAAAAATAATCCCTATTTCCTCAGTACTTATTAGACACTGAAACCAAACAATCTGGATAAAAAGCCTGTTTCACAAATAAAAATTTCATACTGAGAGGGAAAAAATCATATTTCTAATGATTGCTTACAAAATCTACTCTTGTGCGCTGCACAGCTGATATAAGAGAGATGGAAAATAACTTTTTTTTTAAATTATTAATATCACCTCAGCTTCTTTACATGTAATTTGCTTAAATGTTTTTATTATCCTTAGTTTATGTTTATAAAAATGCGAATATGAAAATCATTAAAATCACTATAAATAAGAAAGATGAAAAAAATTTAACTTTATTCTGCCTTACCCCGCCCTTCAAAAAACTACAATTTTAAACATCAAAAATCCCAAAAATAAAAATTATATTCTTAAACTTTCACATTAAAGCCGTACACTTGGCGCTTTTTTGTTTTCGTGTGTTTCCTTTAGCATCAAGTGTCACCATCTTGGTTTGGCTCCTTATGCCTAGTAATAATTGCCTTTACAACCACTGCAACCATACTTTCAGATTATTCCCCCTTTTTCAGACTATATACTAATTTTAGATGTACCTAGGAGATATTTGCTGCTAAGGTGTATTTTCATTATAACACAGTATTAAAAGTTAATATTCCACCATTCGAAAATTACTTAACTCCGAAATCTCGCCATTGTATGTTTCTCTAGTTTAAGGAAAAGACATGGCAGAAAAGAGAAAAGCTTCCCTTGTATTATTCCCTAGTCTCTTATTTGAAAATTAACAAAGGCAATCCCTAAAGAAGAGGTTTCAAAACAGCAGTAGTTTCTCTTTACAGGGAAAATAAAAGGGGGCAGAAATGCATTTAGATTACCTGTCCTTTTAAGTGGAAGCTTTCCAAACTCCCCAGTCTTAGTTAAATAAAAATACTTTTTCACTAATTAAAGGAAATATTATTTATTGTATTTCTCATCAATACAATATATATATATACAATCTGTTTTTCACTGTATTTCTAATCATTCTTAATGGCAACAATGGAAAGGTTGCCCGATTATAGATAAAGGCAGGATTGGATTGGATCATTTTAATTATTGCAAAGAACCTGAGGGCTATCTGCCTAAAGGGAGGGATGCCTTTGGAGGACTTTCTGAGGGAAACTGGCTTGTATACACGTCACACATGGGGAAAACCACAAAAATGCCCATGCAGCCAGCCCGTTCGTGGGACTTGAATCTCGGACTGAACCACCAATGTTCAGCGTATTTACTGCTTGGCCGCTGATGGGCCAGATGATGGCATGTGTTACTTTATCAATGGTACTTTTAGCTTAGTCATGATAGAAATAGTCAAATAAATACATAATTATGATACAAGTTTAAAAAACTTGATAAAAGATAAATTAACTTTTTTCAATTATTTGGTTACAGAAATAAGATTTAAGCACTTTTAGAATTTGTCATTCACAGCAAATATTATCCCTCCATATTATTTTTAAATTTATGATTAACAAATAGTATCTCCCTATATACTTATTAAGCTAATATTTTTAAACTAAAGATTCAGATTAAAGCTTCCATTGTTAATTCACTGCTCAACTTCAAAATGAATTCTGCAATCCCACACATAATTTGAAAAAATAATGTTAAATAAAAAGTAAGTCTCAAGATTAATTTCTAATTTAGCGTTTCAAAAATCCAAGTGCATCAGAAATGCATAAAAATGTTTCATGTGTTATAAGTAGACAACTCAATTACCTACAGCTACCAAAATGAAAGTAAGGTCATGTGTTAATCAAATTGCACAAATGCAAGGGGGAAATATATCATTTGTAATACAAATGTATTAATGTTCCACTCCATAAAATGTTGAGACTTCATAAAACATTGAAATATCCATATACTACATTATTAAATATTCTAGAAACTATAATTAGCTGAAATGCAATCATACCTTTCACGACACTGCTTCCCAATTCTCCCTTTCAGATGTTTAGCGATAATTGTCCATTTTTTAGGACCATATTTTTTCACCAATTCAATAACTTTTTCATCTTCCTATTAGCACAAAATTAACTATTAATAAAATATTATTTATTAAAAAAATTCATGAAATAAATCATTGTAGATGACACATTCAGATACTGAATAAATTAAACAAACAAACAAAAAAAAAAAAAAAGAAAGAAACATTTCTATGTACATGTAAATAGATAACATGTAAAACTAGTAATAAATGTATGATTGCATTATACAGGCACTTTTTTTTTAAATCTGCAGATCTCTCTTACAGAATAAATTCCATAAAACCCGGGTAAATATTTTAAATCTTTAGCAGTTGCAAGATTAAGCACTTCTTTCTTCCCAAATACATGCAATATCAGTCGGATATAAATTTATAATGCTAGTTAGTTTACTTGTGCCCACTGCAGTATGTAACTGGAATACGAGCTCAGCTCGTTCTTGTCCATCCAAATTTTAAATTAAATCAGGAAAAGAAAGAAAAGAAAACCACTGTAATTTCTTTTTTCATGAAATGAATTGAAGGATTAAATTTCTCATATTTATGACTAGGTTAGACAATGAATAATATAATTGAAATTTTTCTTAATTACTTTTTTTTAATAAAATAAATGTCAAATGCACAATAAATATATGTATTCTATGAATTTAATTTTTTCAAATAATTAATGTATGTACTATTCTATAATTAAAAAAACAGTGTCTAAAGAAATTGCTTATAGAGACAAGTAATATGATTATAATAATACTAAATAATTGGAATCTAAAATTTAAAAGAAAGAACTGCATTTTTGTAACATCTGATGATTCATAACTTCAATATTATTGCGTTCTATGGGTTCCTGGATTCGAAGTAATTGATGGTAAAGCTTGATGAAGAATGAAAACATGTTTTATTCGCCAATAAGCATTATTAACAGGACAGTTCTAAAAACATATTAAAGTCATCAAAAAACTACAACAAACACGCAAACACTACTCAATCGATTGCTCTCATGCTAACCTCTAAACTAAAGTCACTACTTTCTCCCCACACAGGCAGGGTACATATATATAGCTTGATACCTTTGAGAATATTAATGAGAAAACTGCGAAGAATGTATTCTAGAATGTTCTCGCATCATATACAGCATATCACCAATTTTGTCGTAAATATCGCTAAATGGCAATTTAGAGCCAAATCTAGCAGTCCTGCCTTTCACTGCCTTTTTCTGGCAATGCTAACCCCAATTATCTCACAGTGGCTGGGCATTTTGCAGCACTGCTCCCTCCCAAGGACTGCATGTCTCGGGCAGTACAATACTTGGTCAGAAGCCAAATTCAGTACAAACAAATAAAGCAATCAAAAAGGCAATCAAACAAAGCAAACAAAAAAATCTGAAGCCTTTCAGATTTCATATTGCATCTAAACGGGCATTTCTTTCACAGAGCGATTCAAAACGTGATATGAAAATTAATACAGACATTCAAAGTCATTCGATGCAAAATAGTGTTAGACACTGTAACGTCTTTGCGTTGCTATGCTACCAACATAATACCTGTAAGAAATGTAAAGAAACCTCATGTATAAAATATCCGTGCTTGAAGATGCACGTGATGTTAATGGTACACTTTGAAATCATTAATTTTGTTAATAAAAAATCAGTCAAATTAAAAAAAAAAAAGGTTTTACAAAATATGAAATAGTTGATAAAATAAATACCCAATTTGGGCTTCCAGATGCCCATATTCGAGTGGAGGAGTTATTCAAAATTTGATGTCTTTAGCTACCACTGTTTTTTCACAATGCAAGAAACATATGTACATTTATGCAGACTCTTCATTATTTAATTTTTTTAAATATAATGCAAGGCTCTAATATTTGGTGGCAACAATTTGAAAAGTGATTCAGACTTTTATAGTAAACATATGTAAAATGCCAAAATGAAATTAATAGCCCTTCTGGGCTAATAAATTAAGTAAAAGAAACAAATATTTACACTATTCGCAAATAACTAAGTACAAGTTACATACACAAATTATTTAGGAAAATTAATCTATAAGGATTATCAATATCTTTATGAGAACCACTATGTACTATGGCCATAGTATAGGAGTATAGATAGTAGTCTAGATGTTGATCCACTCCCAGGCAAACCTGCATACAATTTTCAACCGGATATAGTGGTTTTACACGTACTCCTCAGGTGAGAAATGTGCATCTGGAGAGTGGCTGAAGAGCGGGTCACTTGGCAGACTGAGATCGCGACCGAAAAGCATCTGGGAAAGAGAATAGCCAGTGCTCTCATGGACGAAACTACGGTAAGCAAGCAGGAACATGGACAGCTTGCAATCTCAGTCTTCTTGATTCTTGGAAACAATGAACGAGCGGTGGTTCATGATTGTATGGTTAAATCTTTCCACCATGCCATCAGAGTGCGGATGTAACAGGGGTCATCTGCATTTGCTTGGTTTCCAATAAGTCTTAGAGTCCCTTAAACACAGCCGAAGTAAAGTCCTTGCCTAGGTTGGAATGAATCTGGAGAAGAGTCCCAAACCAAGACACCCAGTTCTGTTATAGAACTTCAGCTGTCCTGACAGCCTCTTGATCTGGAATTGGGTATGCTTAGGTCAGTTCGTAAAATAATCCATGACAACGAGGATGTATTTGTTGTCAACGGCAAAGGTCTAAGTATGTTGAGGCCGATTCGCTCAAAAGGCACACCTACGTTGTATCACTACAGCTGTCCCCAGCTACATCCCTTCAGTCCTTTCCTTGGCTGCACAAGCATCACAAGATCGGCACCACTTCTCAACACTGATTCTTGCTGAACATCAGCTATTTCCTTCAAAACATCAGCTATTTAATTTCGAAGAAACAGCAGTCACATCTCTTACTAATCCCATTATTATGTTACGTAATGCGTTACATTCGAACAATGGCTAGCTCAGAAGGGATTCATAAGTCATCTACCTGATGAATTAACAGCTATCTTATCATAAATGGAGAACTTCATTTAAACTTAAGCAAAAAGGTTTATTTACACATAAAGACAAGTTAAAAGAATAAAAAATATTTATCTGGCTACAATATCTATCTAACCACATCATGCAAACATCGTCCTTAGCTATCTAAACCGCAACTATTCTTTTTTCTCTGGCGTCCCATGACATCAGTCTCTCTAGCCTTTGATTCGCTGGCATAGTGATGCCATTCCCAACACTCATTGTCACTTTCACATAGTCAATATAAGACTCCATTTCAAAAGTAGATTGAATCCCAGAAAACCCAGTACCTTTTAGTTGTAGGACCGATGATGGAAATGTCCTGCCACTTGGATTTAGTACTGCATGATTCCTTCAGCTCTATTATTTTCATTTCACATATAATGTTCTTCAACAAAATAAGTGTAAAATATTGTAATATCTTAGTTATTATTAATTACAGGCTTTAAGAAACACTACACATAAAGCTAACATTTTACAGATAGCAATATTCAAATACATTTTTTTTAATAAAATCTCTTCTGCATCATACATTCTACAATTCATATAAATCAATAAGCTGTATTTTATGTTAAAATACACACTTGACTAAAATATGGCAAAAATTACCTTAAAGCTGCTTTAATGCAAGCAAGAGTACAAATAAATATAATTTAAATTATAAAATAAATATAGAAAGTAAAAGTAAGAGCCTGAGAGTATGTGCAAATTTACAGACATGTAGAGAAAGAGGTACATGCAAATTACTTCTTTAGTCCATGGGCCTTTCACTAATTCAGGGTTGATCACTTTGTACCATCGCTGTTGGCACTGCACATCACTTCGATCAGGAAACATCCTGGATATAGCCTCCCACTGGCTTTCTCCATATGTTTCCACATAGAATTTCAATCTTTCATCCTGTAACAATAGAAACAAATGTTGACATCCCTATACATATTTTAAACAGCAGTAAAAAACTCAATATTCTGCATATCTTACAGTTACTTGTTAGGTTAGGTCGATTAATTATGGCAAATACTTCAAATCTGTCTATAAATCTATAAAGTGTTCCATTAGAAAGGGATCATAGTTTGAGGACAGTCATTTTATTTTTGAGATTTTGATTTTTATGTGGATGTGGGTGTATGAAGCTAATACTAAAATGATTAAGACTGAATTAAAATTTAATTTTTTGTTTGTGAATTTATGTGGTGACAGCAGTTCAAAGATTCTAGTTCAGAATTTTATTTTAGATAATTTAATTTAATTTTTAGACAGTTAATAATTTTAGACAGTTTTGGGATGCCGTTAAGGAATTCTGTTAGCTACACATATAAAAAGAACAGAAAATTTTAAATAAGTCGATATTTCCTTTTTGTACTGCGTAGATTAGATAACATGTATTTCCATTTTTATGTTATTTCCTTGTTTAATTTAAAATGCAGTTTATTGAGATTATATATATATTTTTAAATTATGTTTTAGATGCCATATTACCAGGGGAGAAAATTAGACATAAACAAAAATGGCGGCAAAAAATTGCCAATTTTCATCAAGGGGCACCCTGAAATATATTTTTTAGTTAAAAAAATATACAGGACTTAATAAATTAAAATATTTGAAAAATATTATCAACGCATAAATTTATACCTCTTCTTTCAACCATCTTCCTCGATTAATTATTTTATTGCGAACTCTTAAAACAGGAGCTGATGAACCAAAATCACTTTCATCATATTCTGATGATGAATAGGAGACAGATCGTGAGCTATGGAAGAAAGAAAAATGAATTCTAAAAATATAAAATGATTAACTATAATTGAATTAAAACATCTAAAAAGAAGTTATGTGACAAAAATCAAATTTTACAGAAGCAAACAAAAAATTATTCCATTCCTCACAAGAATGTCAGAAGTCATCAACAAAAAACTGAGATCAACGTGACTTGTATCCATGTAATTCAGGATTGGGGGGAAGGGGGAGGGGGACATTCTCGTCAGGAATGAAATAGTTGTTTGTTTCTCTTGTAAAATTTGAATTTCGTCACATAGTCCCTTTTTACATCTTCTGATTCAATTTAGGTTAAAACAAAATCAAAGAAATCATTTTCAAATTTTTCAATAAATTTCTTTTTGATATCAAGTGAGCATGAACTATAAAATTTCTTACATATTTTCAATATTAGTTTATTAAAAAATGCAAATTTAAGTTTTTTAAAAAACTACCTAAGCTAAAATTTCTTTATTATTTTACAATATTTAAATGATGATCTGATATATTACATACTACATGCTCATGCATCCCGACACCCACAGTGAAGAAAGCAGATATCAGGCCACTGCAGCCATGGGTCACTAATGGCTGTTGTGACACTGAGTGTAGTTTTTTTATTAGTTGAGTTTGAGTTTAGTATTACATATAAACCTCAGAAAACAGTCTCATTTCGGGTAGAGTAGACTTTAAGGTACCCCTTGTATTATGGCGAAGTTGTTTGATTTATCGCCAAGTTGTTGTTTCATTTATAGTAGCCTGAGTAGTTGAATGTTATGGAAACCCTATTGCGATGTAATCGGATGCATGATTCTGGGAAATTTTGAATCATGAGATGTTTTGTAAGTGTTTTTGTGGGGTGTGTTAAAACCATTTAGATGAATTTAAATGGGTTTGTAGGAAGAACAGTTTAAATGGTCAATATGTGAAGCATTCGATCAGAAAGAGTACCTGGTTTGAAAAAAGTCATTTGAGTACGATTGTTATTTTGATTTTTACTTGGCTCTGGGTGTATGAAGCGAACTCGAAAATCACGGTAAGTGAATATTTGCTTTTGATAGCGCTTAAATGTATAACATGTTTCACCTTTTTTATGTCATTTTATTGTTTGGTTTAAAATGTATTTTACTGAGATTATGTATTTTTTGTTTGCCTATATTGTAGAGTTTGTTGCTCCTTTGACTTTTTAAGTGCAAATACATCGATGTGTACATGGACAAAGTAAAGGGAGTGCGCAATGCAAGTTTGTGCAATTTAGGGATTATTTTTAAGTGAAAATAGGTCGACGTGTACATGGATAAAGTCAAAGGAGTGCGCAATGCCATTTTTGTGCAATTCGGAGTGTTTTTTTAAGTGAAAATTAAAAAAACACTCCGACACTGTTTTTTTAAGTATTTTTTAAGTGAAGTCGATGTGCACATGGATACCGAGTTTGTGCAATTGTTTGTCTTGTTACTTTGCCGGCGATTTTTGGTGCAAAAACCGCCGCTTCGCAAGCCAAAATAACGAGTCAAAGAATTGCAAAAAATCGGCATCCACGTACCGCCAAAAGTCGTCAAGTTTCGACAAGAGGTACCCTAAACTACACTTTTACCCTCATTTCATATAAGGATCACATTATTCAAACTTTTCATTTAAAAATAAACATTATTTCAAAAAAGGGTACTCTTCTGCTATTGGGACCTCATTCAGGAATGCATGTATGTAAGTATGCGCGTGCATGTGCATCTATGAGTATGCATGCATATGTGCATATATGAATACGTATGCACACACAAACATATGCATGTACATGTATACACATTGCATACATAAACTCATACATACATGCATATATTCACACATTTCTGAATCTAGTTCCGATAACAGAAGAGTACCAAAACGTATAAGAAATATAAGACTAATTACTAACTAAGACATGTTTCTAATGCATCTAATTTCATAACTATGTTTTAACAGTTAATTTTTGTTTTGCATGTTTTTAATAATTGTTAACTTTTAAAATAAAAACTTAAAAATGAAAACTATTGAAGGCTGAGTGCCCTTTATTTATTGATAATCAAAGAAAAATATTAACTGCTAAATTAATATTTGAACATCAGTATAATAAATGTAACAAATAAATAAATCCACACTTACATTCAGAATACTTACAGACAGAATGTTAAAATTCTACAATAGATCATCACTAAAATCACATCAAGTAATTTTTGTGAAGCTAAATAATTTGATCTTTACAATGGTAACTGACTTCAGTTCATGACATACACACACATATTTTTAATTAAGAGGAAAAATGCATAAAAGAAAAAAAAAATTACAAATTCAAGCCACCTTGTCAAATTATAACATGTAATAACATATGTAACAGAGTTTATAACTTGAACTTCCAAAATTTCAATCTACTTATCATTTATCTGTCTAATTTACAACTGTGATTTTTAACAGGACCTGATCTCAAATGATGCACATATACTAAATCTACATTTTCCATGTTATGAATTTCAGCATGTAATTATAAAATCATCTTTAACATTCATTTACAACCTATTCTACACTACATTTGTGACAGAAATACCTTACAAACTCGCTTCTTACATCACAGAATTAAATTATACATCTCATTAATTAATTATACCCTCTTTTAAACTTTATTTCTTTCGAAGTCCGAATATAAAAGTTCAAAATAAATTGTTGCGAGAAAGAAAAAAATGAATTTGAAACGCATTTGAAAATAAATGCTATACAAATACACAAATAAATTTAAGTACATAGCTAAGCTGTATTTCTGGCTTTACGTATTTTACATCCTGTTTCATTATGACATAAATTGAGAAAGTTTTACTAACCGTGATTTTATATCCTTTCTGACCCTTCGCCGTAACATTCTTTACGTATAGTTAAATACCGATGTTGATCATTACTTTTTATTATAAATCAATCAATTTACTGCCGAAATATAGGTTAAGTTACATTTCTGCAGGAAACTAAACCCAAACAAAACAAAAGCTCCCGCGTAGTCTTAAGTACGCTAAAAGCAGACAGAAGCGTCGGCCAATCACAGAGCAGCAGGAACAAGACCAGGTGCAAATGTAGAAAGTAATGAACGGAAGACTCACCTAAAAGTGTGTTTATTTTTAGTAAGGGAAGAACTACATTACTGAAACATAAAACGCTAAATAACTTGATATTTCTTTCGTTCTTTCAATGAATATACTGGAAAAAATTCGTTGTTTAATTCAAAGCGCAATTAAAAAAATTTAACACGACTTTGAGAAACAATAAATTGGACATCCTAGTTAAAATTAGCAACTACAATAGAAATTTAATAAGTGGAAAGAAGAACGTCAAATTCGAAAACAACCTACTTCTTAATAAATAGATTTTATCGTTATTGAAATTTTCATGAACACATTCCATTATTGGAATTCATAAATCTATTATTCCTCAGCGTTGGCTTATCCAACTGAAAATTTGTGAATGTGCTGTTTACACTAATGTCCATATATTAAGGATAATTCGGAGTGACGCGGAAATCGAACTCTAAAATAAATATATCACCTGTAAAATCACTACACACATCTTCAAGAATCATATGCAAATTTCAGGAAGTAACCAGATGACACCGATGGTACGTCACAATGACGAGAGTGTAAGAGAGTGATATATAAGGAATACAGGCAAAGTAGTAAAATAGTTCGCAGGCGCTTTATAAGCATTTCAGTGCAATAACCGAATAGTTATGACACAAAGGACGCATTTGGATGATTTTTTACGTGGTAGAATTATCGGCTGTCTGGAATGTGGGCGTACCCAACTGGAAGTATCAGACGAATTTGGAATTGCCCAGAGTGTCATCTTCAGGCTTTGGCAACGATTCGAAGATAATGGTAATGTGAGTAGACGTTACAGCACAGGTCGCCCCAGAGTTACAATGCCGAATGAGGACCGGTATTTGGCAGTTACTGCCAAAAGAAACAAGCGGAGCACAGCCTCAGACCTGTCTCGTCAGCTCTCTTCAGCCACTGGTACGACAATTTCAAGACAGACCGTCTACAGACGCTTAGGGCAAATTGGTCTATATGCTCGTAGACTTGTCAGATGCGTTCCACCTACTGCAACTCAGTAGAAAGCATGCATTGTGGACACCGCAACAGTGGGCTTGTGTGATGTTTTCCGACGAGTCCAGGTTTAGCTTGCAGTCTGATTCTCGCCGGACTTTCATATGGAGAGCTCCAGGTACCCTTTACCACCAAGAAAACATCATTGAACGACACCGTTACGGTGGTGCAGGAGTGCTCGTTTGGGGTGGAATTATTCCGGGTTCCAGGACTGACCTGCATGTTCAAATTGGAACCATGACAAGCCAAATCTATCGAGACGTCATTCTGGAACATGTACGTTTGTTTCGGGGCGCCATGGGCGCACACTTTGTGTTTATGGATGACAACGCCCGTCCTCACCGTGCAAACATCGTAAGCGAATGCCTTCAATCGGAGGATATCACCCATATGGACTGGCCAGCATTCTCACCGGACTTGAATCCAGTAGAGCACGTGCGGGACATGCTTGGCCGACGAGTTGCAGCCCGTCAACCTCCTCCTACATGTCTACAGGGAACTTCGGAGAGCATTGCGTTTTGAGTGGTGTAATATCCCCCAAGATCAGATCGATAATTTGATACTCAGCACGCCTGGGCGTTGTACGGACTGTATTGCATCGTCTGGGAGACATACAATGTATTAACAATCATACCAACCATGTAATATTGGTTTTTTGTAAATAGGGCTTTTGTAATTTGCTCCAGGGAGAAAAAATCACTAATTGTTTTTTAATAATATCAAACATATAGCAATTTTTTTTTGCTGTTTACCTTTTTAATAAATAAACTTTACAAATAAGTCGAATTTGTTTTGCTTCTAACTCTTCCTTTGCCTGATTTTGCATTATCCTTAATTCATGGACATGAGTGTAATTCTTAAAACTTCCTGAAAGTTAAAAATTAGTTATAAAGCAATGAAGTATATTCTATACTTATCTAAATTCGCAAATATAAAATAAGCTGAATCCCAATAGTACTCACCAGGACTATTATTTTGACATTTTGTTCTTATGCTAGTTCCAGTGTATAATTTTTGCTTTTATTAGCACCTTAACGAAGCTTTAGCAGGAAAACCATGTGTGCGGAATCCTGAAATTATGTATGTATTTATTTATTAATGCAGTTTCTCCTCAGAGGCAGATCTGTCCTTGTCTCTTAATTCGCCTAATGAGTTCCCGCACATCTCCCTCCCCAGACACGAATCACTTGCGACGTGAATTACCTTTCGCAAGTGGTTCCTTCTCTTGTTGATTATGATCATTGATCAACTAAACACAGAATCGTTTCAAAATTCATGATGTAACCCTTTAAAATTGATTCTGGCCCATTTCGCTATCAAAATTATTAAATAAAGTCCTTCAGTGTTTTTACCACTATTCACTGTGGAAGACAGCTTACCATTTGTTTATTTTTAACAATTCGACACTAAATTTTACTCTTTGCGGAACCCTCTTTTAGGTGATAATAATTAATCACTGATGATGTAGGGATAAAGGCATTAAGCCTATGAGCTTCATAATTGAAAACTTACTTGATCTTTGGTGGGAATCCTGAATGGTCACGGGTTACTACTTGTAGCATCGTATTATAGCGAAATATTCCTTGTAACACCATCTGTTGAGAAGAATACCCTGCATGATCTGAAACCCAATTTGACTGAATAAGATTAAACCCATGATTTGTATACTTCTTCAGTTTAGCGAGCTGAAAGTTGATTGGTAACAATAATTTTTTAGACTAGCATATGGACTGTATTTACTAGTTTAGGGACTAGAATAGTAAGTATCAGTGGCATAGCATCAGTGGAGCAAGGAGGAATCTGTCCCAGCAAATCCAAGGGGCGCCAAATTGATGCTACGAAATTTTTGATTAAATATTTTCCAATTTTGGCAAACAGATAGGGGCGCAAATTCTTTATTTGTACCCCGGCGTTGGAAACTCTAGCTGCTCCTGGTAAGTACATTTATGATGTACAAATTAAAACTAAATTTAGCGTAAACATAGTAAGGAAATATTTAAATTGTCCAATACAGATTTACAGTATTCATTCATGTTTTTTCTGAAGATCACCTCTTGGGGACGAGCAATTAAGTGAGAATCTTTGATGTAGCAAAGTTTTTTTTAGCTTTTATTCTTCTATGAGTTACTAGTTAGTTGATTGAGAATACTGTCCTATAATACTTGCAGGCAAGACTCAAAAGCAAATACTCATATCTTTAAATGAGTAATATATATTCAAACGAAAAACATATTTGATACAAATTAAAATTTATTATTCATGAATAAAACGATGAGTATTTCTTGTTACACTAATCCCCAAAATTATGCCTCAGCCGAAAAACATTGATACAGGAATGAAATTTCACCTTTAAAACTGAAAGACTTGACCGAAATTTCCTAAAAATTTGATCGAAGTTTCCAAAAAATATTAGATGACCAACATACTGTTTAGAGATTAACAGCACATTGGCCAGTAGATGGCTTTTATCGGCATATTGTACTATAATACTTTGCCAGCATATTATTTTGTCTACTGTTAGAGGGCTTATTGATGGCCTTTACTAGTGTAACTTCATATGATCTTATGAAACCTGAAATTAGAATCTGCCAATTGTGCGGGGAAATATTTCCCAATTCACAAATACAAAATTGTAAATACAGTGCTAGATCTCAAACTGCAACGTAGCATAACATTAAGTGGGGGTGAGGGCTAAGCAGGATAAAATACTGTTGCAAAACTGTTAGACATTAGAATAAAGAACAGTTATTGTTCGTAAAAATACATAATGTTTTGAACATCCAATAGTAAAAAGTGTTTGTTTGACACTGCTTGCAGAGAGAGGGAAAAACGTACATGAATGACAGTAAGCACTTTTGAGGATATAAATACGGAGCACAGTCCGTCGTGGCGTGTCATTCTTTGCACATTATCCAGCAGTTGATCCTGCTCTTCTGTCAGTGCACGGATGATAGTGTTCTAGTTCGTTGAAGAATACTTTTGACCAGCAAGTCGCCTTCCCAGAGCACCCATAACATTGTCAATGGAGTTTAGACCTAGAGGATGTGCTGGCCATAAGAGGCTTTGAATATTCTCGTTTACTAGACCAATCCTTAACAGCGAGTGTTTGATGAATCATTCGTTGTCATCAATGAAAAGAAATTTGTCACCAAAAGTACTACAAAAAAGATAGCAGTAGACTTCATCAATGTATCGTTGGCCGGTCAGAGAGAGAATACTTTCTACAGCCTGAATCATCGCTGTGGAAAATGCTGAACTCAATTTCAACATTTGTTCTGTTTTGTCCTTCTGCGATTTTTCTAATGATAAGACTATGAGTAAAATCATCTCAGTCAACTCGAAAAGACATATCGAAACTTTCAAGTTCGTCATTTAAAACCTTCTCGTAAATCTTTCACTTAGTACAACTGCCCGCACACTGCTCTCTAACTTCAAAAGCACAATCTACGTGAGTTGAGTTAATATTTTCCATCTGTCAGAAGTTTTTGAAGAAACATTCTCAATTATGTTGTCATATCTCAAGTTGGAGCCTGCGAAAACCAACTCTTAAGTATTTACAATGGCATCTGTTTACTTTTTTGGAGGTATTCAAAGAGCATCTGCAGCTTTTCCACACAAATATGAGGCCAGATGTACAGCTTTTAAGATGGCATCCCATAAGTTTGCCAATGAAATTATTTCAGATTATATTTCATGATGATTACCTTTTATGACAAAGCTTAATAACGGAATGAGATGACTGAGATGGGACATTATTCTCAGAAAGCTGAGCCGAGACATTAATCATACAGTGAGCCAAAACATTATTCTCAAATGAAGCCAATTCCAGAAATTTCTTTAATTCTTATATCTTATTTTATTTCATTGATAGCATAACTCTTCATTTACGGAGGCACTAAAGTTACAATTTCATTTGTGAAGCTGGCATTTCTCTAAAATTTTAATCTATAGCCTGAACTTTTATTGGCACTTACAATTTCCTCTTCCATACTGGCAATGATTTCCTTAATCTCTGAAAAAGCACAAGCCGCCATTTCAGAATTCACTTAAGAGGAACTTTTCACTTTAGACACAGATGTCACAGTATTTTCCCTCATTTCTGCAGCATTTCACCCCCCCATTATATTTGAAGTTCATACCTATCTTTATTTCAGAAGAGTTGGATTAAACATTACGCAAAATGAGCATATGCTAAAGACACCAAGGAAAATTCCTGATCACAAAAAATTTCCTATTGCCAATTTTACTAAATAAAGAATGCAACATGCAGCTAAACTAAGACTGAGAGATATGGAGAATGAAGAAAAAAATGGTGTAAATGTATGTGGGGTATCAAAATTTCTTATTCCCGTTTTTACTTCAGAATACATAGCACAGTTAAACCATGGAATGAAGAAACAAAAAATAGTGTAAGTGTGTTTAGTGGGGCATTCTAACGTTTTCCACGCTTTTTCATCTAAAGTCTTAATCCGACTCTGACTTCAGTGATATTGCATCCAATGAGTTCAGTTTGGCAATCAGATTTGTAAGCTTTTAGATGTGCCTGCAACATTCTAGCAAACAGAATTCAAAGCACTAATAAAATGTAGAACATACTTTTAGAATGAAAAAACATGCTTTCTAGAAAATTTCAGAATGTCATCAAGCTGATGAGAAATCTTTATAATGTTGTCAAGACCAGACAGACGTTCTCATCTTATTTTTCTAATTCACCTTGAGCTATAATTACACTAAACAGACTCAGAATTAAAATCTTTACAGGTACTATTCCGTCAGAGAGGCATCAGTTAAAAATGGTTAAGGTTTTCCCAAACTTGCAATATGTGAAACTACAAATTTGAAAACTCATTTCTAAATTAAGCCTCTAGTTATGACAAATGCTGTTTATATTATACATTTTTTGTATACAAAAATTATAAATTTCGAATAAGATTTAAAAATGTGCCTAAAATTATGCTATCTTCAACACGTTGCTTTTATAAAATATTCGATTATCATTTTCTTTTTTTTTACTAAAGAAATATCTTATTTAGAAATAGCTAAGACTAGATTAAAAATATGATGAACATTTATATCATCTCGGTAATTTTACTGTTTATATGGTTTCAAGAAATGTGTACTAAAACATTTGTATTATTTATAATCATACAGTAAATATAAATGCACATCTCATAATTGTAACATATAATTTATTTTATGTTTGCAGTTAAAATTTTAAGCTCTGCGATTTTTTAGTTTTAATAACAATTGCATGATTCTGGGTGATTGCTCAATGAGAAAAAAGATAATGCTGTCTGATCAACTCTTAAGTATTAAAACCTACTGTGACATAGTATATGTATAACATATGTGTGAGGCATTATATGAACAGAGTGTCTGTTTTTGGTCATTTGATGTGTGAAACTTTCATATTTAGATGACATCATCATACTGTCCCAAACTTTTGATAAACACTTAAATAATTTAATATATGCCATTTTCAAGAAGTAATGAGAATTAAAATGTTATGCTAACCTTGATGTATGCAATTTCACTTGCAACCACATAAAGTACTTAGGGCAGACAGTGACTCAAAGTTGATCCATACAAAACAACTGCTATTCAAGAAATACCTACTGCAAAAAAACATGAAGCAAGTGCAATCTTCCTTCCCATCTTTTCAAACTTGCTCATAATACAGACACGTTAACCCAAAATTTTCTGAGATTACAAGTATCTAGTTCTAGAAAGTCATCACTTCAAATAATATCTGGTTGTAATGAAAATTATCTATTAAAAACGTTCTTAGTAAAATTAGAGGGGGGGGACATGAAAGCAGTACCTTTAGCATGGGTAGTAATCACCACAAAATCTATTATTTTCTGCCAACGTTTTGGTAGTTTTTCAAAGCCTTTCACCAGAAACTTAGTGGTCACGAGTCCAAAAATAGATCAACCTCATTTCAGATGTCCTGTTCAGAATGGAAGATAGCACCAGCAAGATGTAGCTGTAGGTGTGAAAAAAGTTAGAAGTCTTAAAGAGCGATGCCGAGGCTATATGGTCGGTGTAGCAAAAGATCCCATTCAAGTACGTACAGAGTCCAGCCAGTGAATGCAGACGCACGTGGTCTTGCAATATCTTGATGGAACATTACCTTTTTGCACTGGATCTTAGTTCAACATTTTTCCTTGATAGCAGCATCAATATGGACTAGCATCTTGCTGTATACCTTACCGTCGAGGGTTTTACCTTTTAACAGATATTCTTTGTGAATAATACCACACCAATCCCACCAGAGATAAAGCATGATCTTTTTGTTAGTCAAATTGCGCTTTGCGATGCTGCTGATGGGCTCACCGGGTGCAGACCAATGCCCTTTTCTGCCTGTGTTGTTGAAGTACATCCACTTTTCATCACAAGTGATGATCCAGTACAGAATTTTGTCCTTGTACTGATATTCAAGCAGATTAGTGCATGCCCAAACACATCTGTTCTTATCTGCTTGAGTCAGCTCATGCGGCACCCAGCGACTGAACTAGTATGTCATGTTTATGCTATGCATAGCATTACTAATAGATATGGCGCTAACATCTAACTCCTTAGCAAGCTCTTGAATGGTTGTATATTGATCTTCTTCAGCAAGTTCTTGCAGTCGGGCTTCATCAACATCAGTAGGCCGGCTAGAATGCTCTGCTTCTTGAACTAATAGTCCTTGTTTTTGAACTTTTGATACCTAACCTTCACAGTGTTACATGATACAACATTAGTACCTAAAGCTATACACGATTTGGTGACATTCTGTAGCTGACTTTCTAAAGCAAGTCTCTTTCTTTCAAATGCCAAAAATCATTTGATAAAATATAATTAAACACGCTAAAATGAACTGTTTGCACAGATGATATTTGTGGTGGGAAATTTACGCTAAAACCTGATACTTTTATATTAGATAACCAACAGTATAAATAATTAATCAATGATTACATGATTTAAAGCTTTTCACAGGATTCTACATTCAAAAGAAAATAATATGCCTTGAGATCACTTTGTAGAAAGTATCAGTCAAAATGTAGGAAGATATGGAAATTAAAATTTTATTCCAATAATTAAATTCTTCGTAATATTTGGTAATGGTCCAAATATTTGAAACACAATTCCCCTACAGATATCAGAAAACTTGTAGTAATCATATGAATTATCCTTAAGACATAAAACCATACTGACCATTTAGAGTATGATTAAGCACATTAGAGTATGATTAAGTATAATGCATAGAATAACATTTAAAAATTAGGAAAAATTCTGTTTCAGTTTGATGTTGGTTTTATAAAGGTGAAGGGGGAATTGCGCATTTCAAAAGAGGAGCAAGAGTTGTCCTTTCTTCAAAAAGGAAAAATACTTTGCTTCTACAATGAGTACTTTTTTTTTTTCTCTTGGAGAACCACTGCCAATTTTGTTTCATTTTGAATTTCATATTGCAAAGCTTCTCTGCCATACACATAATGGCATCTTATTGAGTTCAATCTTCTCATAAAATGTTCTTTTCCAAAATGTTACAATTTACAACAAAATATTTATTTATTTTATAAAATACTATCAGTACAAAATATGGCAAATATAAAAAAATATTTAAAATAAACTAATGTTCATGGAAACATTTCAAGCCTATGATAAAAATATGGTTTAGAAACAATTAATTAAATTTCTATTAAAGTGTCATAATATTAATTTCATATAATGAAGGAAGAATAGTTGAAGAGATAAATAAAAAGTTTGAAATGATCTATTCTGTATAATTTATTTATAATTTTAGTCTGAATTTCATCATTTCCTTTTTCACTTCTCTTAGGGGGGAAATTACAGCCTATAAATATTTAAAATAAATTTAATTAAACAAAACTTTTTACAAATTCTATACTATACAGATATAATCATGGGCTGTACCAATCCAGAAATAACAATGAAAATGATAAAACAATTAAAAAGAATAAGATCCAGACTCTGAAGCCAGCATTTTTCTTCATTGCCTACAGCAAAAAGTAAAACATTAAATTAATACACATTATTGTAAATTTTGGAGACATATAAGACACAGGAAGAATCTGTATTTGCAGTACAAGTATGTTTACCATAAGTAAATACTTATTTATTCATAGTACATATTTCAAAACATATAGGGTTCATTCAAAATAGAAACTTTAAAAAATGAAAAATTGTGTAACATACAATAAAGTGAAATACATATTTTAACAGTTCTGACTTTCTTCTTTGTTAGAAGAAATGAGAACTATAAACTAGCATGCAAAAAATCCCTTTTCTTTCAATACTTCACCTTAGATCTGATTAGTGTGTTTTGATCAATTTTATATGAGTACAAACAGTATATCCAATATAAAGGAAAAATCTGCTATGGATCCTTACTATCTATCCCGTCATTTACCTCAAAATTAACTTTTAATGTAATGAATAACAGAAAAAAGTACTAACTAACATGTTCTTCTTTCTCGATGACAAAAAAAAAAAAAAAAAAAAAAAAAAAAAAAAAAAATGGTTAAAGAAATTTATATGTAATTCAATCTCTCTAACTTAATCTATTTCTTATACAGTAGAAGCAATATAATTGTTGCCCCCCCCCAAAAAAAAAGATCAGATTGAAAGGTTTTAATGCTAATTAACCAGTTATTATGATTTTGATCCATACTATAATTTCTCTCCATATTCCTCACCAGATTACACAGTACATAAGCTGAGGGTTTTGAATGTTAGAGAGAGTTTCTGGCACTTGCACCACACTGTTAGAATTTATCCGGATCTATCTAAAAGTGATTATTATGGCTTTTGCATTCTCTCCCAGACAATACTTTAAACTTACATGCTGGTAAAATTATTTGAGTCAGCTTATTTATTTGACTGGATAGTCTTTGACTACTTTATCAATGTTTAAATTTATTCGATTGTTATTGCTTAATTTAATGTAGGCCTAAATAGTGATATTTATAGCACAAATTATGCCTTTTAAAAGTTCAAATTAAATAAAAAGGTTATTTAAACTTTTTCAAGGTCTTAATATAATATTCCGGACATAGCGATAACTAGTTATCATTGTCTAGTGAGGTCTGCAGGGCTTAACTTCCACATCAATAGCAACTTTACAAAATAACAAGAAAAAAATTTAGTTAGGAGGAATTACTGCACATCTTTAAGGGATATCTACGATATTACTGCAGCTTTATGATGGGGAATAAGTATGCTGTGTTTGTTGCTTCATTGCCAAAATATTTAGGCCCCCCCCTTTTTTTTTTCATTTCTGAAGTTTAAGCTTCTTGACATATATTTATAACATCAGTACATGGTATGTGAAATTTAGTTGGTTATTTATTTCTTGAATGCCAAGAATATTAATCCAGCTGAAATTTATCTGCAAATTATCCAAGTTTAAGGAGAACATGTAATGAATGATTCAATGGTATGAATGGATACGACTTTTTAATGAAGGATACAGATATAAATGATGATGAACAAAGATTAAGGTTAATTCTATCCATCATTTTTTGTGACTGACAACATGGGGCATTTATGTAAACAAAAGCAACAAAGCAGGTAAGTCAGTGTAATGCACATTTAAAAGTTTGCACATTTAAAAGTTTTACACTAATTTTGTCATAAAATTGTGCAACAGGAACTACCAAAAATTGTATGAACGCTGGGTGCTAAAGGTGTTGAAACTGTTTAGAGAACATCCTAAACTGAAATAACGTTGCAATGAAATGGACTCGTTGACATATTTTCATGAGCAACATTATCACTGAGGATGAAACTATTATTGCTGGCCACCCTTGAATCCAAATAGTAATACTGCAGTGGAGGCATCGTAATCACAATAAACGATGACAGCGGGTCAGATGATCTTCACTTATAAAATAACATGCACCATGTTAGGGACAGAAAAAAAAAATTTGCTGACAGATTTATAGTTTCAAGGTTTCACAACTGATGCTGAACACTTAAAAACTACTATATATTACTGAATTATAATATTACTGAACACTTAAAAACTACATAACACTGAACAACAACATGGAATGTTTACCAAGGGCACTGACTTTTTTTCATGCTACACCTACTCAAACCTAGCCACCATAACATAACTTCTAGTCATCTTTGACTAGAAACAATTTAAATATTTAATTACAGTTCAGATCTTACATCTAGTAGCTTTCACCAGCTCAAACACATGAAAGCCAACAGCAATTGCAAGATGATAACCAGGTTGAAAAACTAATTAACACATGATTTACATCCTGGGCAAACCTTCTAAGGTGAAGAGATACAACTCCTGGTTGCCCTGTTATGATAAGAACCTTAACAATGGTGGAAATATAGTGTAGCATATTTACTTAAATAATTAACACCCCCTCAAATTCATAAATGTATTCATGTTTTCCTGGAAACATTAGAATTTATCTTCTGGATATTATACACAGTTTTATAGCAGTGAATTTAACATATTTAAAAAAATCTTCCCAATTTTAACTATGGAAGTATGGAAAAAACTGCAACATACGATTTAGGACCATATTCAGCTTTAAGAATTAAATCTGTAAAAATATATAAATGACAAATCACCTCACGCAGTTCTTCATTTCCTTCTTTAATGTTTTCAGTGGTACCCATGACAGTATCAGATATTCTATTTATGTCTTGATCCTGTAGGAATAATGACAAAAGTTATTGTATTTGTCTGTCGTAGTTAGAAGTTTTTTATGTATTCTAACTGAAGGTTAAAATACATAAACATGACAATACATAAACAACACAAATACATACACTACAATACATAAACATGACAAATGCATATGCACTACAATAATAATAAATGTAGCCTTTTCTTAATAAAAATCTAGAAGGTTACGTTGCAGTTCATCAATTAACACATCTGTAATAAAATTAAATAAACTCACTGCTCTCTTTGTATTTTAATATTTCCAGTTATTTAATGCTGCTTACTTCCTATAATTTTATTTTCCTCTCTTTCAGATATAAAACTACAGGTATGAAAACAATTTTCTTTAAAATAATTTTTATGTACTTTGCAAATGATATTTAACATTAACAAATTAGAAATTATTATTTTTTAAGTATTTTTCAACATTTCTAAAAAACAAAAAACACACATACAAAAAAAGGGGGGAAGAAAAGGGTAATAGAAATAGTTTTGATGACATGTACGAAATAATTAACAGGAATGGATTATAATGGAAACAATCAATAAAATAACACATACTCCTACTGATGAAAACAGCAACAACATGAAAGAATCATGCAAATAAATTACAATTTACACAGAATATGCAGCAGGATATCATATGCAAATAACTAGAATTTTAGAGTGATAGTGCATTTGTGGGATGAGCAGCTAACTCTGAACTGTCATGTTAGCTATATAAATAGACAGCTGTAGCAGAAAAACATTATAAGCACTGCTTTACTATTGGCCAACATTAACTATTTCATGTGATTTCACTACACCTCATTGATGACAAAGGGGCTTACATGTGGAAGTTATACCACTTGAACAGAGGTGAATAATTGGTTTGAGAGTAAGAGGATTTTTCGTAAATAAGATGTGGATAAGCCATTAACCTTTCAGCGGACAATGAAATAACAGAAAACTTATCCACATGACAGTGACAGACTGCACAGCTTTATTTTGACAGTTGGTGCAACTTTAGATCACGGCCTCAGGTATGTCTTTGCGTCTTTGAGAGATTCAGAAGTTTGCCAGCATGTCTTGTGACATGTACTGCATACATGCACTTTTTTGTGCAGGATTTTCTTAATACAAATGCAGGTACAATGGTCTCACTAACTCAGTCACTTGCATACCGATTAGCAACAGATTATCTTTCCAAAGAATCTTGCTTTAATATGGAATATACCTACGGTCGAGTACATGTTAGATGCTGTAGGATTGAACGCTATCTTTTAGACTGCATTATCCAATATCTTACAGGCCAGTCACTAAATGTGATGGTCTGGAGTGCCACTGGATATGATGGGTGATCTCATCTATTAAGAATTTAAGGTACTGTCATTAGCAACCACTTCATCATGGAGGTTGTGCACCCTAAGCTAGTGGTCTTGAACTGGTGGCATGTGAACCACATGCAGCCTCCAAAGATACTACAATAATGTATTTTTTGCAAAGATTTCAAGATTTTAGTTATTTGAAGTCCGAGTTCTTCTTATTTTTATTTTCATTAAAAACAAATGTGAATAACGCTCCCCAAAAACTATAAACAAAGACTGTGAATTTAAAGTGTGATATAAATCTTATTCAGAGATTTCAAGATACAGATTTTATTAAATTTTATCCATACCTGTCAAAAAATAAATTTGGTTAGTTATGAACTTTTCTCACTAGGAATATTTGCTTTGTTTTGGAATGCATTTATTTGTGAAAAACAGTTTTTTGCAGATGAAAATTAATAAGAAAGAGCATAATTGACCAGTAAGCTTTTACGATCAGTGATGAAGATAACTTTTAGTAACTTCTCCAAGTCTATAAACATTATCAGAAATGAAATGTTACAAGTGTCAGGCTACAGTAAGAAATAAAGTTTAAAATTATTTACATACAAACACATATATTTTATTTATGCATCAAAGAAAAATTTAATACATAACAGAAAGAGACTCGGTTGTTATTAATTAGTCTCAAGTTTTCTTCTACTTGATGAATTTTTATTAAAACTTACAAAGTTTTTAGAATTTGTTTACTTTCAGTTTAAATTAAAGAAGTTTACTTACTAATTAATAAAGCATGTTAGAACTGTTTAAAAGAAGCATCAGTCTAAGAATTTAATATTTAGCTGCCAATATATTTGAATTATAACTGTTATCAGCAAAAATATCTTACAGGTACAAAATTTAAGATTTCAGAAGGAAAATAAATATAAATTTGAATTTTTTTATCCTTTAAATATTTTGTAAGTGAAGTTTAAAATTTAATAAAAATATTTTTTATTTTGTTTATAAAATATTTCATTTTGTCTGGGGGGAGGATTGATCATCAGCTGATTTCAGATCTTCCATTAAGCCCTCATACAGCCTGAGTTTGGTCTAAGCAAAACACAGTTAAAATTTCAAAAGACAAGACATGAATGTCTGTTTACTGAAATGACTTAAATGTAACATCAGCTTTCTAAATAATAACACAAAGAAATTTAATACTGAATGAACAGGGTTTTTATTAGCGATCAGAATCTGATAAAGATAAATAATAATACAGAACAAAAATTGCATTAAAGATTAAAGTAAAAAAACAATGAATTAAAAGAATGAACTGCCAATTCAAAAAAATTAGCACAATAGGGCTACAAATCCAAATGTAAAGTAATATTGTAGAGATATTAGGTTATTTTTAAAGCAAGAGTATATGAAAAAGGTGCAATCCCCTTGCTGGGACTCGTACCTCTCGAATACACGCTGAGTGTGCCACCTATACACCATAAAGGCATGAAGAAAATACCTCATATACTCCCCCTTTTAAAGGGTGATTGGGATTAGGGAAATCAATTGCCAGATCCTGGTGGTGAAGAATCATCATCCACCACCTTTTAGTTCGGGTGCCACTGTAGAGTCATTAAGTTATTTTGAAGCAAGAGATGTGAAAAATGCATAATGCCCTCGCTGGGATTCAAACCTGGACCTCTCGAATACGCACACCGAGTGTGTTACCTTTACATTACGAAGGCATGCAGAAAGGAGGGAGAAAATACCTCATAACACTTAACAATAGATATGAACAAATTTATTTTAAAATAAAAATATAAATTAACTGAGAATTAATTAAAAGAAGAAATGAATGGCTATGGAAAATTAGCAATATAGATTTTAAAATTTTTGTTAAAACAAAGATAGGGAATTCAAACGACTAGAATCAAATTACAGTCCATAATTTATGAAGCCAATGGCGACTGAATTTGTGATTCTATCAGAGGTCATGTGAATATCATAATTATGATTTCACAAATATCATGTCATCTCAGACATAATGTGCTACTTTTTGAGTCTGCTACTGCTACTTTAGCTGAAAAACTTCTGGTAACACAGCTTCAGCATGTTATTTTTTTTAATATTGGACATGGGATTTAAAAACTGCTTAACAAATTTCACAATCATTTCATCGTCTAAATGTAAAATACTGTTTCTAAGAACAAATGATAAACTTTTATATATTTTACTACCTTTTGAATATCAAAGAGAAGGTTCGTTGGTTTATTTTAAAATAGCAAAGCATGCGAGGGTTATTTGCCAAAGGGAAAAAATGCCTTCGTGGAGGCCTTTCTATGGGAAACTGGCTTTAATCCATGTCATACATGTGGAAAACCACAAAAATGCCCATGCAGCCAACCCACTTACCTGGGATCGAACCCTGGTCAAACTAACAGTGTGCAGTGACTTTACTACTCAACTGCTGGTTGGCCAATAAAGGGAAGGAGAAATATTCATTTAATTTACAAATATCATAAATCTGCAATTTAGCAACAGAAATTTTAAATAAAATGTTTTCTTTAGAGAAACACAGATATGAACAAATTTTTGGAGTGGAAAAACAGTTGCTACAAAAAGTAAAAGTTTGTGTTAAAAGAATATAAATGTAAATATGCTATAAAAATATGAAAAAGCAGACAGAATATTTGCATTCTTATTATTGAAATAAAACTATAACATAGAACCTCTTACCTGCAGTAAATATTCTCATTTGTTATGAAATTTGAATTAACTTGTAGAGTTTGAGAGTTTTGAAAATGATCTGTGCTGGAAACCTGTTTCCAGAGATCTAGTAAATTTAGAGTTTTTTAGGTTACCAGTTAACTGCTAAATGCTGGGCATTTTATGGAAATTTAATCTAGCTAATTATCTGCATAAGCTGTGGCTACAGATAAAATACCCTTTTCAAGAGAAATATTTTGAAGACAAATTACTAATGGTCACAGATATGGATGTAAAACAGCAATTTTCATATTTAAAATAAAATATTGCTATTTTCTAGTTTCACAAAAGATGTCAAAGTTCATATTAAAAATGATGTATAAATATAATAAATGGCAAAAGCTTTTGACTCTTAAAACTACATGCACCCTCTAGAACCAGAAGATACATTCCCTTTTTTATTTTTCAAAATACTTTGCCTCCAGTCATAAATGAATACATGGATGATATTATGATTAAATGAATAAAAAATTTCAAAAATAATGAAAATACTATGAAATTTATGGCTGTTCTTCTTGTGTTATAAAAATCTTTTTAAATAAAGCAATATCTTACATAGTTTGGCTTTGCTCAGTCCTGATTCACCATAGTCGAGTTTGAAAAATTTATAAATTATAATTTAGCAAAATAAAAATATATACGAAAAAAACTACCACACAGCAATATTTTTTAAATACATAAATGATCAGATTTTCCATTTATAAAGCTCCTTTATGAAGTTTATTTTTATGCTGTTTTAAATTAATGTGATACAATGCATACTTCAACTCTTTCTGAGGTTCCTTGCAGTATATATATTGGGTTTTAACAAAAGTTTCCCGCCACTGCAAATATCGCCTGCGCAAACAGTTTACATTGGTTTGTTTAACCATATTTTGTCAAATGATTTTTGGCATTTGAAAGAAAGAAACTTGGTTTAGAACACTGTGTTATAAAATATGCAAAAAAAGAATATTGCAATCATTAAGTACAAGGTGTCTGAAATGAAAACATCACACTACCAAATTAGAATCATTATTTACTTCCTGTTCTGTTGCAAAAAGTCAACTACAGAATGTCACCAAATCATGTGTATAGCTTTAGGTACTAATGCTGTATCATAGGACATTGTGAAGGTTTGGTACTAAAAGTTCAAAAATAAGGACTCTCTTTTTTCACACCTGCAGCCACATCTTCCTGGTGCTATCTTCCATTCTGCAGTGGATGCCTGAAATGAGGTTGATCTGTTTTTGTGCACTCACAGCCACCATGTTTCTGAGCTGAAGGCTTCGAAAACAATGCCAAAACATTGGCAGAAAATCACAGATTCAGGTGCTCATTACTACCCACACTAAAGGTACTGCTTTTATGTTTTATTTTTTTCCCTAAACTTTATTAAGAATGTTTCATTTTGGGGAAAAACTATCATTACATTCAGATTAGTATCTATGCCTGAGCTCTGACTACTGTTACTGGAGAAGATGAATACAGCACTGATGAGGAATGATCCATGTTGACCTTCATCATTGCTTGATAACAGCACCTACAACTATGAAGACTCAAGGTCTTGGTGGAACCTGCTACCCAGACTATGCAAGATATTGCTGTAATTAGGCTCATCAGTTCTGAACTATTTTTTAAATCAAATTCACTGCCCTAAAAGTTTTAGATAAATAACTGATAAAAGAGAGCTATAATAATGAAATTACCATCTCTTATGATCATGTAATATGAAAACATAAAAGGTGGAAGGAAGATTTTCTATAAAATATTATAACCTGCTGAAGAACTTTTTCAGAGAGTATTTCTTGTAATCTTCCAATTTCAACAACTTTTCCTTCTATTTCCCTATAAAAGATATTTTAAAGATATGAAAAATTACAATAAATATATAAATGCTACATGTAAAATTAGGTACTTGCGTATTATCACAACCACTGTGGTGCTTTTTTAAAGAAGAAAAAGGTGATTTGGTGAATTTTCAGATTGCAGCTTACAGTGGATATGGCTACATAAAGAACTGTTATGCACATGCTTGCCAGAGTTCGGCTACTTCTGAAAATTTTGTGACTACTGCTAAGATAGCTGCAATAATATGCAAGTGCCTAAAATATTACTTATATCTGTAATCAGAAAACATATAACATCATAAAATTAATTTTTTAAGAAATTAATTAAAATAAGAAAAAATGGGGTATGGACTTCCTAAATTCTCTGAAGTATAGTTTACGAATAACATATACCATGTTTATAATTCCTTAATTTTAGCTGGTAGCAGACTCTTAATAGTGATGGCCCTTTGATTTGCATCTTACTTGTGCTAAGTTTAAATCCAGCAAATAGGAGGCCCGACTTCTAATGCCAAACTTACAGGAGTATTTATCAAGCCATAATCTAATGACTGCAGACTTATAGGGTAGAGTTGAAGATCAACTATCTAGCTTTCAACTAACTAGAATTTTTTCAAATTTTATAATCTGACTCGGATGCCATTTTTAATGAAAAATTCAGCAAATGGCAAACTTGTAAAGCCATCATAAAGAATATACAGGATTATGAATTACAGAAAAATAAATAAATAAATAAAATAAAATAAAATAAAAACTGCATAAAAACTGTCACCAAACAGTATTATTTAGTGGCAAAAATGGATAAGTGCGACATAACAATATGCTCATATTATCTTTGCTTTGGTTTCATGCAATTCTGCTTAATTCTCAAAAAGCTGGTTTAGTTTTTATGAAGGATATAAGTTAACTGTTATTTATCTGTTCTGCCTCTGCATTTTGAAAAATATGGGACCTTCCCAAAAGTAGCACACGTAGAATTTAGTTTTTGAACGTGCAATGATAAGGACCTGATTTGAGTAATACTAATTTAAAAGTTCTTTAGACCAACGATTGTCAACCAGTGGTATGCAAGAGAAAAATAGGTGGTACACAAAGAAACAAAGTATTTTTAACTATTAATTTCAAAAATCTCGAGAAGAAAAAGAACAATTGATTGAAATTTTCTGTGACTGAACTCTAACTGAAGATTTTAAAAACAACCGTCTTGTTAACTTTAGGCTGAACTGAAAAAAATAATTTAAAGGCATATCAAATAAAGCTATTAAATTTTTATTCTTTTTTCGCACATCCTATTTGTGTAAATGTTACATTTGGAAAAAAAAAAAGGATCCTAATTTACGGTTAAAGCTAAGTGAAATATGACCAGACATAAAGAAACTGATCTCTCTTAAACAGGCCCAAATTTCACAATAAATTTTAAAATTAAAAAATAATAACTTAAATTTTGATAATTAAAATGGTAATTTATTATTAATTTAATATTTTATGTGTGCATATTTAATACAAATAACCAACAGGTTGAACAAATGGCAAAATATATTTTTTTAAATATTTCTATTGAGAAATTGAAAAATAATCATTGTAAAATGTAGTGGTGGTACTAAAGTATTATAATTTTTGTTTAGATGGTCAGCGTTAGTCAAAAGGTTGAGAACCGCTACTTTAGACCTTATAAGACTGCCATCTGTAAAGGTACAACAAAGTTCTATGAAGGTTTTAAATAACTTTTTGTACTAAAATTTGAACTTAACAAAAGGCATAACAACCATTAACAGAAAACTGAAAATACACTCTAAAACGCATTCGTAGCCTGGAACTAAACAAACGTGCCTCCTAAGCATTGACTGAAAACTTCTAATGATGGCATTTAATTTTGCTCAAAGAATGGTTAAGACCATTTTTCTCAACCAAACATGAGAAGATAAAGCTGCGAGCCTCATTGTTATAAGCTCTGTAGTTTGTCCACTATGCCTCTTAGAAATGGAGTTCACTTTGTAGAATGCCTCCATGCCTCTTAGAAACGAAGTTTTTTTTGTAGAGATATTAGGTATTTTTTTTGGAAGCAGGAGAAGTGAAAAATGAGCAATGCCCTCACCAGGACTCGAACCATGAACCTCTTAAATTTGCATCGAGCGTACTGACCACTACACCGCAAAGGCAGGAGAAATACCATATATACTCCCCCTTTTAATGGGCAACTGGTGTTTTAGGGGACCCAATCACCATATCCTGATGATGAAGAATTATCACTGATCATCTTTTAGTTTGGGTGCCATTGTAGAGACATTAGGTATTTTTTTGTAAGCAGGATAGAGGAAAAACGAGCAATGCCCTCGCCGGGACTCAAACCTCGGACCTCTCGAATATGTGTTGAGCGTGTAGACCACTACAACTCTAAGGCATGCTAAGAAGGCGGGAGAAATATCTTATATACTCCCCTTTTAAAAGGTGACTGGGAATTAAAGGACACAATTGCCAAATCCTGGTGGTGGAGGATTATCATTTACTACCATTTAGTTCAGGCACCACTGTAGAGATGTTAGGTTATTTCAAAGCAGAAGATGTGAAAAATGAGCAATATCCTTTTGACTGTACAGTCAAAAGTCTTTAATCCGGACTCGTCCGGCGATTCCGGATTATCAGTTTTTCCAGATTATAGATCATCAGTTTAAATCTGGTAAGATGGCATGCAAAAATTATAAAATTAAAAATATGAAACCATAATTTATGAAATAAAGAGGAATTATGATTTTAAGGGTATCAAAATTTACCCAAAAAAAATGCTTAATATATGTTTACTTTATTAAACATTTCTTTCAACACGCACATGCGTAAAGCATACATTACGCATAGTCGAAATTAGAAAATTGCAACCAGAAACTATTTGATTGTATTTGTGATATTTATAATAAGGAGAAATTTGATTTAAATCATATCAAAGAACGAGTACATCGAGATGAAATACTACATTTAGTAAGGATTTGTAAGCCGAATAATATAAAAACATCTGCTCTGAAGATAAGGATAGTGCTGACAAATCAACTTAAAGTTCATTGCACGCCACGACGTCCCCCCCCCCTGCAGAACAGTGGGAAATTGATAAACAGATTTCGGAATGGTTAGAGAAACAAAGGATATGCCTTTATCCATTTTTTGCAGCAATTCCATTTTTTGTTTGATAGACATCTAAACATGCTTTCGCTTTATAGATCCTCTGGCAGCTCCAGAATCAGAAACTCTTTTTGACATAATCGAAAGTTCAAGCTTACTTTTATAAAATTGCTCAACATTCTGAAAAAAATAATAAGCCGGATCCGATTTGAAGATTAAGGAACAACGCAATCTGTAACATTAACTGAAATAGATAATTAGATAATTTCAGCTTAGGTTATACTGTCCGTTATACTTTAAACGGGCATGCATAAACATATTATGCACATGTGTAAAGGTATTATGAGCATGCATAAATGCATTATGCGTTTATGCATGCACAGAAAGTTTGTAGCTTAGAGGTCTGGATTATAGATCATTCTGGATTATGGATGTCTGGATTAAAGACTTTTGACTGTATTTTTGAGAACACCAGTCTTTTGCACTGTGCAAAATTGAAAAATTGTACTGAGAAAACATGAGAGTTGGCAAATCTGCATCACATAATTATGGATTATTCACATATGATTTCACCACGATTGTCAAACCCCATGGAGAATGTAAAAAGATTTATTAATGCATTTTCTTTCCTTTCCACTAAAACACATCAAATAATTTTCCCATCTAATTAACTTATTCATAGAAATCTAAAAGTTTTTATAACTTTCATACCTAACTTCATCCACCAGAGTATTCATGTCTTCATATAGCCTCTGATTTTCTTCTTCAAACTGAAACAATTGAAAATTACATTGACTTTAAAAAGAATATGACAATTCAAAAAATCAGTATGTCACATTAAATTCAGCTAAATTTTGGTTAATATTTACAAAATATGAATATTTAAATGAGCTCATTCACAATATCTTGAAAGAAAAGTGAACTAAGAAAGTATATTTATGTTAAAATCTAAAATTATATTCTATAATGACACAAGAAAAGTTCATTCCTTTTGAGAAACAATATACAGTACAAAGTCCGAAATCCGGATTCGTTGGGACTTCGGCAATTCCAGATTTGGGATTTTTCCCGATAATAGATCATCAATTTAAATCTGGTAAGATGGCATGTAGAAGTTATACTATTAAAAATATGAAATCATAATTTATGAAATAAAGAACAATTATGATCTAAAGGGTATCAATTTACAAAAAAAAAAAAAAAACACTAATATTTATTTGTTTTGTTTTATAACTTTTTTCAATGTAAGTTTTGAAGATGCTCAATAACAATTCAAAATTTCCTTTTTCTTTTGTCATATACAGTTGACTTTCAATTCTATCCCTTCACATATTTTTGAGACGATAGCCTTTATCCATTTTGTGGCGCATTCACTTTTTGTTCAATGGACATCAAAACATGTTTCGCTTTGTTTATCCATGGAGCTCCAGAACGGAAACTCTTTTCGATATAGCGAAAGTCAAGCTTATTTTTATAAAATATCTATAATAACACAGCTTAAAATAATAAGCTAGATCAATTAGAAGTCAAGGAGCAGCACAGTCTGCTACATTAACTGAAATGCATTAGAATCAGTTAAGATAATTTAGCCTTGCTTAATAGTGTCCGTTTCCATTATTGGCTGGTATCACAAATTGGCAACAAGCCAAGTTCTGCGAATTTTGTCTTGCTCCGATTCGTACTGAATTAGCCTTATGTATTAGTTATTCTATACCTACATTTTCTTTTTTGCACATGCTTAAAACTACTCTGAGTTCTGAATAATAACTCCCACAATCTTAGCTTTATCTAGGCCGATGCTAGAACCGCCTGGGCAGTCCCTATATTTGTTTCTTCTGCTTACAAAGCACCTCCCTAAGTTCTAAATTTTCACCGCCCTAACTTTAGATACCAGTGCTTTCCCCCTAATTCTAAAAACTTCTCATACCTTTTGGTTTTGGTTGGTTTCCCCAAATTTCAAATTATGTATTCTAATTCCTGCCATCAGTGTGGCCATATTCTTCCGCGCTTCTAGTTTTATGTGATAACATATCAGTTATTCTTAATTAAAATAGCACTAAATGTATCTTTTGGCCTATGAATTCATTCACATATCTATTTTACATATGAAAGAAATTTTTGTTGAATTTTTCCTCGTGAACATCTCTTAGCTTTAAAAAACTATAATCATTGCAAAGCCTAATCTTAGCAAAAAGTTCCTACTCTTGTTATTCTATTACCAATATAAAAAAAAAAAAAAAAAAGGTTAGACTTCACTGCACAAGTTATTACTGAAGCTGTCATGTATTGATGAACATGCGGTGATGAAAGCAAAATATAATAAATAATGACTCACCAAGTCGGCGTCAAGGATATAAAATAGGTGAATGTTTGAGATGTAATCCCAAGCAGACACTCAGCTACGGAGCCAAAATATTAATCTCACAAATTTATGCTTAAATGATTGTTTTTTCATAATGATGTATTTTATTTAGTGCCTAAGTGAAATTAAGAAACGGAATTTTTAAGTGAGAATCTTCACATGTTTTATTATGGAAGGAAAAGTCAAATGCGCATGTGTAAAGCATACCCTCCCCCAAAAAGGTGTATGGCTTTGAAGTCCAGATTTTCATATCATTCCGGATAATGGACGTCCGGATTTTGTACTGTATTACAAATATTGTGTAGTTTTCAATGACATTTTTGACTCTGTTCAATAATAATCAGAACCCATATTTTTGTACAAGTAAATATTTTATTAAACTTAGACACACATTCACAAGTAACATGATGTATTATTGATGTTTTTTGGCAATCTGATAAACACTCATGCTACACAAATAAGCACCAAATGCTATAAAAAAAGGCACAAATGTAAAGAGGGTAATTAAAACAAACTATTTACATATGAAGTAGAGATTGCATCGCTGAATGCAAATAGGCAACCAAAATTAACTTAAAACACAATCCCCAGTCACACCAAAAAGGAACATGGCGGACCTATGCATCAGTTAGCAAACAGCAGTAGTTCTATGTAATCCAAGATGGCCAAAGCGGAAAGCATGACTAAAGATACCACTTACAAGATGAAATGGGTTGGAGAGCTGTTGGGATGTTACAAGCTGGTGAAAGACAATTTGTGGTTCCAGAAGAGCTAAATATGCATTACAGTATCATGAATAGGCTATGGAATCGTTAAGAGGATCAAAACATTATCACTGTGGGTGTGCTATGCATCCCACAATTTTATACAGCTTACATCTTAAACAATGGGTGAATTTAGAGAAGTAAATTTTGCATGGCTAGTGACAATCATAAAGCGGAAAGCAGAAGAGGGAGTTGTGACAAACTTTTATACAAATTCCATTTCAAATCACATGACAGTTTAATGTAGAGGTGTTAGTTTTAGGCTTCTTTGATTAGTCTGCAATACAGATAAAATGACAGATCTTTTTTGTTTAGAAAATTTATTGTTCTGTTATTTTTAGAATGAAGACAGGAATTAAAGGGCTATTAAGTTATTATTTGAAAGCTAGATTTTGTATTTTACACACACACACACACATATATATATATATTAGCATTTAAAAAAAATTACAAGGTTAAAAAAAAAAAAAAGCATTACTATAGCAGAAACACTGGGTAGAATTTTCTAAAGTGCGAGTTTGATTTTCGATACTTGGTTTACAATTCTAAAAGTAAACAAAAATATAATACATAATTCAAAAAGTCAAACATCAATTTTAGCAAACATTGAATGTACCACTAAAACACTAAGATAAGTTTGCTAAATGAACAAATATATAGTACATAGAATATTCAGCGAATGAGAAAATATTAGCCTTTAAAACACTTGAAACAGTCTCCTAAATATAAACAACACTATGGGAACAGTTGAATGGTTTATGATTAAAAATGGTAAAATACATACATATATAGTATATACAGTCAAAAGTCGTTAATTCGGACACCCATAATCCGGACCTCAAAGCTACAAACTTTCTGCGCATGCGTCGCTTTGACGCATGCGCGTAAGACCTTTACTGCTGCGAATTTGCGTGTGCGCGTGCCGCAAAATACGTTTTACGAATGCGCGCGTTTTAATGTATAACGGACGGGAAATAAGCCTAAGCTAAAATTATCTAAAATTATCTATTTCAGTTAATGTTGCAGATTGCGTTGTTCCTTAATCTTCGAATTGGATCCGGATTATTATTTTTTGCAGACTGTTTAGAGCAATTTTATAAAAGTAAACTTGAACTTTCGATTATGTCAAATAGAATTTCCGATATATATTTACTAATATGTAAAGGATATACAAAGTGAAAGTATCTTTTGGAGTCCATTAAACAAAAAGTGGAATTGCTGCAAAAAATGGATAAAGGCATATCCTTTGTTTATCTAAACTTTAACGTTTGTTTATCTAAACTTTGTTTATCTTTAACGCTGCGGCTGCATGCAATGAATTGGAAGTTGATCTGTCAGCACTATCCTTATCTTAAGGGCAAATGTTTTTATTTTATTTGGCTTATAATTGCTTACTCAAATGTAGTATTTCATCTCGATGTACTCCGTCTTTGATATGATTTAAATCAAATGCCTCGTCATTATAATTCGCTTCCGATAGCGAAGAAAGTGACAGAGGTTATTGAAAACGAAAAAATTTCGATTGACAAATTAGTCGGTATTCTCGACACAGCAATTATAGGACTTGAACAGCGGGAACTTTGTAACTGAACAACAAGAAATTATATCTGTTTATAGAATTAAAGAGAATGTATTATCACATAAAAAAAAAACGAAGCAACTTAAACAACTTACATTGAAAGAAATGTTTAATAATCAAGTAAACAAATAATATTAAGCTTTTTTTTTTTGTAAATTTGATACCCTTTAGATCATAATTGTTCTTTTATTTTTCGTAAATTACGGTTTCATATTTTTAATTTTATAATTTCTGCATGCCATTTTACCAGATTTAAACTGATGATCTATAATCCGGAAAAATCGATAATCCGGAATCGCCGAAGTCCCGACGAGTCCGGATTAACGACTTTTGACTGTACATATATAAAATCTATGTGAAAAGGGTAGGGAGATATAACATCTAAATGACTTCATTAATGTATACAGGATGTCTCAAGAGGTCGTTGCCAAACTTAACATACTGGTCTGTATTACAATGACAAACACGATTTGCATAGGAACTTGTGCCCGAAAATTGGAACAGTGACCATTAGAGGACTATGTTTGCAGGCTTATGGGAGAGTGGGAAGTGTGTTCATTTCAGCCAAGTAGGCTGCAAGAGGAGGATGAATCAGTTTCTAACTCAGTTTTTTATGGATTTTTTGTGGAAAAGTGTTGCTAGATCTGATGGTTGATGTTCCAGCAGCTACATGCCAAAGCATCTAGTTCCAGCATGATGGAGCACCTGCATATTTATAGCAGCACTATGTGGGAATACCTTAATAGGACACGTTTAATCACTGGATTGGCAGAGGCAGACCAGTCACATGTCCAACTTGATCCTCCAAACTGACTCCCATGGATTTATGCCTGTGAAGGTACATGAAATCTATGGTGTACGAGATGACTATAATGTCAGACATGGATCTCGTCGCCAGGATCGCGGAAGTGGCAACACCTGTCCATAACACACCTGCCTGTTTTGAATGGGGTCTGTGAATCCATGTGTCGACATTGTAAAATATGCAATTTGGTGAATGGAAGGTATTCTGAACATCTTCTATGACTTAAACATGTTCTTTGATAAATGTCATATTAATACCTCTTTCAACATCCTTTCTTTCTCCGCCCTCCACCGGTCACCATTTGCATTTCTGGATACAAGTTCCTGTGTAAATCTTGTTTGTCACGGTATGACAGACCAGCATGTTAAGTTTGGAAATGACCTTTTGAGACAACCCTGCATACTTGAAAATTTCTTTAAAAAAATTTTTAAATCCGAAAGGTTTTAAATTATGTCCAAAGGGGCGTTTTTTGCACATTTTGTGTGTTACCTTTATTTATAAAATATCATGTTCTTTGCACTTAAATCATAAAATTTAGTTCAACAGCAATGTCACAAAATAATTTTAAAATTGGCATATTTTTAGAATTTTTGATATACAGTTCCGTGCACTGGAGATAAAAAAGGCCCCCACCCCCCGTAGAGTGTTGCCAAAGCTCACTTTTAAATCGTTGAGTTTGTTACTCAAAAATTCATTAAAGTTTTAAAAAACATGAAATAGATAATAAAACAAATTCCAAATTCAGACTTCCAGATCCCCACTGGAGGGCAACTAACACTGAATTTCATCTAATTTTTCAATGCCCACCAGAATATGAATTGAGCCTGATAAACCAATCCTAAACAATTTCAAGTCCATACCCATTATTTATTTATTTTTTATGTACTTTGGAAAAAAAAAAAGAAAGACAAAGAAATTTGAAAAGTTTCAGATTTTAAATTACATCCAAAGGGGCGTTTTTTTAACATTTTGTGTGTTACATTTATTTATTAAATATCACATTCTTTGCACTTAAACCATAAAATTCAGTTCAACAGCAATATCGCAAAATAGTTTTAAAATGAGCATATCTTTAAAATATTCGATACAGAGAATTGCACACTGGAGATAAGAATGTTTTTCCTGTACAACGTTGCCCTTGCTCGCTTTGAAATCTTTGATTTTGGTTTGTTAATCAAAAATTCTTTAAAGTTTTACAAAATAGGAAATCGATAATAAAACAAATTCCAAATTTCAAATTTGGTCTTCCATATGCCCATATTCTTAGGAGGATTACATCATTAAAAATTCAATGGCTCTGTGTACCGTTGTTTTATCACAATGCGAGAAATATAGATACATTTCTGCAGATTTTTCATTATTTAATTTCTTCTTTTTCAAATATAATGCAGGACTCTAACATTTGGCGGCAACAGTTTGAAAAGCGATTTGCCATTTATGGTGATTCAACGCAAAATTGCAAAACGAAAACAATAGTCCTTCAGGGACAAAGTCCCTTTGGACTAAAAAGGAACTATGCAAATACTTGGTATTAGATTTAAGAGCAAAAATTATGTAAAATCAATACTTGACACAACTTATCACATATCCTTAAGATTTACAACTATGGTATTGCCAACAAGAAAATTTCTCATCAAGTGTTAATCCAATAGCTAAGCATGCAATTTTAGATTATTTAACATGTTGCTCTAAACAGCACTGTCTCTAACAGCTGGTGCATGCATATGTATACAGCTTAATACATATAAAATGATTTAAAACAATGATGCACTCCCAGGTTTTTAATGGAAGGGGGGAAGAGATATAAAATATTTGCAGATTAGTTTAAACTCAGCAAAAAATGCAGCATTCCACCGATCTGAGATAGCAGCTCCTTAAATAGAAAATATTATGCCTGGAAATATTTAGAAAAAGAGAAAGTGCTTAGATTTACAATGTGTGGGCTGCAAAAAAATTAATTTTTTCCTTTTTTTGCTTAATAAGGCCTTTTTTTCCACCACTTATGAGAAAATAACGTAAGAATAGCATTACTATTTTTATTATTTTAAATACTTTTTATGTGATGACATTATTTTCCTTCTCTTTCTATGCACAATGTTCTAATATACAGCCACTTCAAAATTAAAATCTTTGCACAATTACTCTAAACATATTCTGTTCTAATGAATAAGCATTTTTAAATTCAGACTCATCAATTTTAATGTAAAAGTGAATGAAAGAAATTTAATTTAAAGCAAGCTGTATTTAATATTAACAACATCAATGCATCTTTGGTATACATCCATAAGAAATATGAAGCAAAAAACATGAAATGGAAGATAGAAAATTATAAGAAACAAAATACTGAAAGGTTCCATTTGGTCGCAATATCAATCAAGTGCTTTTAAGTGATCTTTGACTAAAACAGTAAAATGATATGAAAAGAAAAAGACATGTTTCTTACTCATAAAATGCAAAATAATTCTACATTTCTATTTCTCTGCCTCAATACCAAATCTGAGCATATTAATGGAATCAGTAAGTTGAAAATAAAGATGTTAGACAGTTATAAGGGCGAACTGCATAAAAATACATACAGAATTCATAAAAACACACCATTTGTAATTCTTCAGGAGAAAATTCTACATTGGCAGAATCCAAGGATAGATACTCATCAACAACAGGAAGTTCTTTAGAAGGAGATATTCTGGTCTCATCATTCGCATCCAACTTTGTTTCAGGTAAAGACTTTCCTTTTCTGAAGTCACTTTCTAGCCTCAACCTAAAAAATTAAGTTTCATAAAGAAAACATAGTACTGTTCTTACTCTCTTTCCAATTACCAAATATTTTGTAAAGATTTTCAAAAGATTTTTAAAAAAAGTCAGTGGATTAATAGAGGGGAAATAATTATTAAAAAATATTATAAAATGTCATACTCTTTCTGGGTTTGTACACACTTTTGCACAGTGAAATTAAACACTTTTAAGGACCATTAATAAAAAGAACCATAAATAAACTAAGGACCATAATTAATTTAAGGACCATAATTAAACTAAGGATCTATCAGCAAAGGGAATTGAATAAACAAAAGAAATTATCTATACCCAAACTTCACTTTTGTAATATCATTCAAAGAATAAAAAAATTATGTACAATTGAATTAAACATAACCTAATACTTAACTATAAAACAACTTTGTAAAATTTATCAAGTAATTATCATTAAATTACAGAATTCCTACAAAATTTACACTTATTTATATTTTACCTTATAATAGTCTCAGATATTTTAAAGAAGATTAATGACATTTAAGTTTTACTAACAATTAGGTTTATGTTAATTCTTTCTTTTATGTCTCATTTCGCAATGTACTCACCCAGTCCAAAGATTTATGCAAATTTTATATCAAACGACACAGGTTAAAATCAGAAGTACAAGGTAGCCATAAATAAATTTGAAATTTTAGAGCAGTCTGTAGCAAAAATAGTACAGAGGAACTACATATAAATTGGGTAATGGCAGAATGAAATGATAGGACATTTAGATGTAAAACTATTCTTCATTCGTAATCTATTGAACAGGGAAATTTTTGATCTAAAATATGTTCCAAGCAAAGATAATCTGGCTGATCCCATGACAAAACCGCTGACTAAACATAACTTGATAAGATTTTGTGGAGCAATTTTCTTGTGAAACTTGTTTTTGTGTGTATTCAACTTTAAATTAAGAATTTTGTTTAGTAGAAAATATTATGTTGTAAGTCATATTATGATGAGTATCGTAGATAATGTAAAAATTGTAATAGTGTAGAATGTAGTATGATTGACAGGGCCCTGGGTAAATGTATTGAATGTATGATCATACATATGTCTTTGTAATGTTCGCAACATGTTGGACTTCCTTATTATGGTAAAATTTTGAAAAATGGGATAAGATATCCCCAAAGGAAAGTTTTCTTAAAACTTCCTGAATTGAATGGAGTTGTGATATTTATTTATTTATTCTTGTTTTGAATTTCATAAAAAATACTTGTGTTCAGTTTTTATTTCAGGTCGGAGATGATGATGTGGGGGGCATTTGTTGGAAAATATGACCTATTGTAACCCTTTTTCTGCATCATCTCTCCTCCTTGAAATATTTCTAACTTTTACATAAGGTTTAGTTCTTATTTTAAAGGGATATAATAATTACTTCTACTTCGTTTTTTCACTGCCACTGTTTGTATTAAGAACGGACTGTTCCAGCCTAATTAAGATGCAAAAACGAAGCTTGATGTTACGTCATCTGGAAAGCTGAGTCGTGCTGATAGCTGTTTGGTTGCCGTGAGATGACGTCATGTCTACTTCAAGTACAAGTATCTCGCGTCGCTCTGGCTTATTCCTTCTGGTTCCTGGTTCTTTGCTCCGTGGTGTGCCGTTCCAGCCCCCATTGGAAGACGATATTGAGATGCGTGCTGTCCAGTGATAAGTGCCGTGGTTCCAGTCTACAAGATGACTTTTCCTGGATTCTCAAAAGAGGCTACGATGTGAGCGACTGCCGTGGTCGGCATCCTGTTTTCATGAAGGTGGCATCTTCAACACAAGTGTTTTTCCTGAATTAGCGGCGATGTTTTCCCAAGCTGTGATTTTTCGTGTGTAACTACAGTGAGCGGCATTTTGCCGGTTTAAGTGCTCTCAAGGATTTAATTTAATTTTCCAGGTGCCTTCTTGACCACGAAGCATGGACTTATTGATAGTGTAGCGAATTTCATTATAAACCGCATAGTTTCTGTTTAGTGATATGTTTTTCGCATATTGAATGCCAGTATTTGGAGATCAGGTAAAATATTCTTTAATAGTGTGACATTCTTTAAAGGAAAAACCCTTGGGGTTAATGGATTATCCACTAAGTGTAATTTTTTTGATAATGATTATGTTATACTCTTTAAGTTTCTGATATTGATTAAATTTATTCATTGTGTTTTTATTTTTATATATTGTTAATAAATTGGTTAAGTTTAAAAATTTTTTGTCTTCAATATCTGCACAGTACATAACCTTAGGGAGTTCTATTGCTACTTTTGCTAAAAGTTTAATTTTACAACTTTAAGCTTTGCTTTTGCATCATTTTGGTTATGGGCCCAGTTCCTGAGTTATCTTTAGTGCAGACTTTTGAAGTTTAAAATTAATTTAGGACTTAAGAGACTGGGGAACGGTTTTTGTTGAAATTCAAATATGGCTACTGTTAATGTTATGCATAGTATTGCTAAACTTGATGCATGTAATTACTTTACATGGTCTAAAGACTTGAAGTTTGTCTTAAATGAGAAAAATGCATGGCTTTTGGTTAAAGGTATTGAAAAATGTCCTGATTTAAATGATGTTAAGTGTATAACAAAAGAAATTGTTGCAGACTATCAAAATAGAAGTCGTTTGGCATTATCATTGATTTATATGAATGTAAGCCCTGAATATAGAAACTTAATACAGTCAAAAGTCGTTAATCCGGACTCGTCGGGACTTCGGCGATTCTGGATTATCGATTTTTCCGGATTACAGATCATCAGTTTAAAAATCACGTTAAGATGGCATGGCAGAAATTCTAAAATTAAAATATGAAACCGTAATTTATGAAATAAAGAACAATTATGATCTAAAGGGTATCAAAATTTACAAAAAAAAAAAAAAAAGCTTAATATTTATTTGTTTACTTTATTAAACATTTCTTTCAATGTAAGTTGTTTAAGTTGCTTCGTTTTACTTTTCTCTTGCTAATTCTATAAACAGACATAATTTTTTGTTCAGTTACAAAGTTCCGCTGTTCAAGTCCCGTAATTGCTGTGCCGAAACCGACTAACTTGTTCAATCGAAATTTTTTCGTTTTCACTAACCTCTCTGTCACATTCTTCACGTCTTTATCCATTTTTTTCAGCAATTCTACTTTTTGTTTGATGGACATCGAAACCTACTTTCGTTTTGTACGATCCTTTGGGAGCTCCAGATTCGGAAATTCTATTTGACATAATTGAAAGTTCAAGTTTACTTTTATAGTATTGCTCTTACAGTCTGCAAAAAATAATAAGCCGCATCCAATTCAAAAATTAAGGAACAACGCAATCATCAACATTAACTGAAATAGATAATTTTAGCTTATACCGTTCATTCGTTATACATAAAACGTGCACTCGTAAACGCCTATGCGCATGTGTCAACGCGGCGCATGCGCAGAAAGTTTTTAGCTTTGAGGTCTGGATTATAGATCATTCTGGATTATGGGTGTCCGAATTAATGACTTTTGACTGTATGTGAAATAGATGATCCGGTAGTTGCATGGAATGTGCTTGCCAAATTTTTTCAGCCAGATTATCGATCTAGACATATGTCCTTGTTTTCAGAGTTCTTAAATTGTAAAATTAAGCCAAATGAAAGTATTAGTTTCTTTTCTTCTAGATTAAAATGCATTAACTGAACAATTGGCTGATATTAATCAAGGCTGTAAGAAGATGTCTATATATGTTTTCAGTTTCTTAGGTTTCTTCCAGAAAAATATGATCATGTAGTTTCAGAACAGTTTTGAGGTGGCCAGATGAAAAATTCATATTTAAAAATGTTGAACTCGGAAATACTAGCAGAGGAAACGCGTCTTTAATTTAAGGGATGATAGATAGGGAAAAATTCCAATAAGACTATAGAAAGTTCAAAGTACTCCACTTTGAACCTAAATTTAAGCAGATTAAAGGGGTCAAGTGTTATAAATGTGGCCGTCCAGGTCATATTCAAAAGTACTGTAGAATAAAAGGTAATTTTTCCAGATCACCCTCGCCTGCTTCTTCTGTTTCCTCAGCTGTATCTAGGAGTAATAAAACATCCCCTGAAGTGTAAGAATAAACCCAAGTTGTGTAAAGGTAAAAATAATTCCCCTGCTCAGTCCCATTTCATAGCTCAAGCTAATGTTAACAATTGGAAGAAAATGATGATAGTTGATTTTTTGATACTGGCTGCATCTCATCATTTTTGTAAAAATCGTGAATTGTACGATACTTTTTCTCCTGTGAAAAATGAGAATATGGCTAGTAGCTGTTGATGGAGCAACTTTTCCAATTCAATGGGAAAGGCACTGTTAAAATGAAATTTGGGGATCGAATTATTTTGTTTAAAGATGTTTTATATTCACCTGAACTGAGACGAAATTTAATATCTAGACCTTAAGATGGATATCAATGGAGCAAGATTTTATGGTAAAAATGGGCAAATTAAAGTTACTAATGATGAAAATGAAACTTTTTAAGGCTAAGTTGATAGGAAGGTAATTATTACGTATTCCCAAAAATAGTGAAAAAGGGGGGCAAATCTGTGAAATTTGAGGCATCCATAGTTGAACATAACAATAGTGAATTATGGCATGGTCGGTTTGGTCAGATAAATTATGGTGCTATTGTCAGGACTAGTAAGAGACATTCAGTTCGAGGTCTTCCTGTGTTAAAGCACTCACCTAATTTGTTTTGTGAACATTGCCAAATCAATAAGCAAAGACGAATGTCCTATAGACCCTTAGAAGGTATTCAAGTAAAGAGGCCACTTGGAAAGGGTTTTTTTCTGATGTATGGGGACCTATTAACATTCCAGGTAGGAAATAGTGAACGTTATTTCTGTTTCCTCCTTTATTAACGAATATTCTCGTTATGTGGTAGTGTACCCCACTGTAGAGAAAAGTCAGGTGTTTGAAGATATTTGAAAGGCATATAGCACGTGCTGAAAGATCTCTTGAACCTTAAGTTGAAATACTTTAGAACTGACAACGGA